AGTTCATTAACCTTTTTTCAAATTATTATTAATAAAAAAAAAGTAAATAAACTTAAATTAAGATGTATTAAAATATATTTAATTTAATCATTTTTTCAAGCAAAAACTATAGCGAGTCTTACTTCTTTGAAAAATAATTATTTACAATTTATTTTGGAGAGGAATTTAGATTTTTTTAAGTAAATAAAGTTTTACTTTTAAACATTACATTAAAGAAGCAAACATTTCCCTGTAAATGAATTTAATTATTATTTTGAAAGGGAGTCAAAGCAAGCAAGATACAATGAGAATTTAGTTTTGAAAAGTGATTATATTTAAATTACAAGTCATATTTGTATTTTAAAAGAAAAAAAAACTTCAGTTAAATAAAAATTAGTAGAGTTACAGTCAACATTAGTCATGTTGAATATTTGTTTTACGAATCTAACTATATTTTATTTAAATTAATTTTTGAAAAAATAAGACTCACTATAGTTTTTTGCTTTAATAGAACTTAATTGAAAATTATTTACTTTTTTATGTTACAAACCATTAACAAACAATGAAGTTTACTTTTTAAAGATTGAGTAAGAAAATTATTTTCCATAAGATGGCTGAAAAATATTAAGTCAATACTACACACACATACAGACAGACAACTACCCTTTAAGGTGATACTGAGTCTGTCTATACAGACAAACCTCTCTACAATGGACTAATTGTGAGGAGAGGAGGGGTGGGTTGTTAAAGCCATTAAAGTTATGCTTTTATTTACTATAGATGTGAAAATAAATTCAAGTTTAAATATATCTTAATTTAAGTTCATTTACTTTTTTTATTAATAATAATCTCCTCCAAAATAAATAGTAAATAATTATTTTTTGAAGAAGTCTTTCTATAGTTTTTCTTTAAAAATTATTAAATTAACAATGTTTAAATATATCTTAATCTAAGTTTATTTACTTTATTTAGATATTTTAGCCAGACACACACACACACTCAAATATTTGAATAAATAAATATTAATCTTTTTATCAAATAATTGTATTTAATATTCTTCTTTTAAATTTACTTTGTTAATTTAATGTTCATGTTTTTAAAGTTACGCTTTTATTTACTATAGATGTGAAAATAAATTCAAAAGAATAGAAATTTTAAAAATACATACATGTATAGTGTTTCGTAAGTATCATCAGAATAAAAAAGTAAAAAAAAAACGGTAATCATAATCAGGAATAAAAATTATTACTGTTTGTTTTTACTTTTTAATTCTGAGAATTTCAAATGCATTCTAATGAATTTTAATTTTAAAGTATCTTTGTAAATACAAATCATATGATGATCATTTTTTACATATTTACTTTGTCATTAATTACTATAATGTTATAGTTTTAGCTGGACACATAAAGAAAACTGCCCTTTATGTATGTATAGATTACTGAATGGCATCTGTAACTTTATATGCCAATAGAATCATTTGTGAATCCATATGTAATAAGGTAACTTGAGTAAATGTTTTTTTTTTTTTTGTAAAGGATAATAAGATACAGAAAGGATCACATATAGAAAGGATCAGATACAGAAAGGAAAACTATTTTCTTAAAATTTCACATTTTTTTCTAATTTAATCAAATGTTTCCATTGCTTAAAGAAAAAAAAATTGTAAAATTCTTTGTTACAAACACTAATCCTATTTTTTTTAATTATATTCTTTTGTAATGACGGCAGAAAGAACAGCAATAATAATGACTTCTTTTATAATCATTATAATTGAATGCAGCCTCATTCTCTGAATTTTGTCGACAAAAGGTAGGAAATACAGGATCTATCCAGAAATGATTGAGTTAATGTTAATGAAAAAGTAATATACCACTTTTTGTGCCAATAACCATTCCACTACCCAAACTAAGATCCCCACGCACTTTTATCTCAACATCCCTTCTACTTTTCAACACAGTTTGTAAAGCTCTCTAGGGATTTTCACCAACTGGTTCATCATATTCTCCTTAATCTTTTTTTTCTTTTTTAAGCATTTCATCCAAAGCAAGGCAGGAATGCCACTAGCACACAAGGGGTTACAGAGAGTGAAAGTAAGAATAAAGAGGGGTGTTTGAGGAAAGGATAAAGAGAAGGATGGGGGATCAAGATCAAGGCATCAGATGTCGATTGACATTACATTTGAATATTTGAAGATTATAGTTAACAGGGAAGCAAGGAAGAGGAAGGGAGTTTTGCTGTTGGAAAGTGCAAAAGAAGAAGCCGTTGGAATAGAAGAGGTGGTTACATTTAACTGTTTTGACAGTGAAAGGGTAGGACTAGCACACTTAAATTCATTCTGTTGGGGCAGCAATAAAAATGGCTCTTCTGAGCAGTTGCCATGAAAATATTTGTAGAAAAGACTGAGGGAAGCCACATCACATCTGTGAGAAAATAACTGAAGTTGAGATGCCAGGTCAGGACCTATCACATTGCATATCTGTCTTTGGATTTTGTTGAGAACCTTGGGATGAACAGTAGGGGCACCAGACCATATATGGCAACAGCATAGCCAAATGGTAGATTTGAAGGATGGACTCAGATGAGAAAAACCTTCTGCTGTGATACAGAGAACCAACTTTCCTTGCAGTAGATGCAGCTATTGATTCAATGTAGTTGTTCCACCTCAGGTCAGTGGAAAACATGAGACCAAGGAGGCACAGAGAGACACTCTCATGAGGTTGAGCATCAACCATGCTGATAGAAGGCAGGGAGGTTTCTCTATGGTGGGAGAGCAGTTTCATTATTAAAGTTTACAGGCCATTTCCTGCGCCAGTCAGCCAGGTTAACTTTGTCAGCAATGCCAGATTTACTATTGAGACAGAAGTAAATGGTAGATGCCTACTTGAGAACTGATGACATCAAGAAGATCATTAATGAAGATCAGAAACAGTGTAGGGCCCAGGATAGAGCATTGGGGAACACCAGCATTCATATGAAAGGAACTGGAGAAGAACCTGTTTAGGATGGCTTTTATTTCACGGATTGACAGGAATGATTGGATTAAATCAAATAATCGTCCTGTAATACCATATCGCTGAAGCTTACATAGAAGGCTGGCATGCCAAAACCTATCCAACACCTTAGAGATATCTAGAGCCACACCTTGAGCTTTGATGTTATTATCAAGAGCTTGGTATACAAATTCAGTTATGGCCATAAGCACATCAGTATTAGACTAGACAAAGTGGAAACCATATTGTTTGTTAGAGTGCAGATCATAGGAGGTAAGGTGTTTAACAACTTTGGCATTCATTAAAGCCTTGAAGATTTTGCTGAAGAGTGGTAGGATCACCAGAGTTAAGCAACATTGAGCCTGGTCAGTACCTAGATGGGTGACAGCCTTGAAATTCCAGGTGCTGTAAGCTTGGATGTGCAGGTGGTGTAATGGATATTGGCTCAGAACTGTTAATTGGATAACAAAGTTCCAATTCAATTTGGGTTTGTTATATTCACTTACATGCAAATACATGTGGGAAAAGCATGAATCCATCTCTTCTTCTTTATTATTAACTTAAAAAATAATTCTTACAATTGAAAAGAATATTTTCTGGCTTTAAATAACCTGCAAAGTGTTGAAAAGCTGTAAGAAATGAATCAAGTTTCAAAACTATCTGCAGATTCCCCAGATCTTTTAAATCTTGCACTGTCAATGTGGAGAATTACCTTGTAGGTCCAAGAGGGGCTAGAATAGCGTAACCTATATGTGTGAGCAAATTGCTAGCAAGGCAGACTCTCCAAGCACCAGCACTGGAATGATGAGGTGCATGCATCAGTGAATCAGATCAAGGCTGGCAGCATGCCCAATACGCAAATTCTCTGGCTCGGCAAGAGTGTGTAAAAAAGGCAAGTTCTTCTTGAGTCGGCAGAGGGAATCTTGTGCGTTCAGCATAATTCACATCATTGTGTACTAAACCAGAATTTGGTGTGAGGGTGTTTCCAGTGTCTATGCCACAGAATCCCAGCTTTCCTGCTACAGTCAATCACTGATTTCCTTTGATTGCAGTCCAGATGTGTTCAACAATTTTTGGATGTTCTGCTTTTTAAAGTAGTAGAAATTTTTTGGAGTATGCTGACACATATTGAAATCCACACTGTATTTAGTATTGTTAAACTTATTAACATTTTTTGTCAAGATTTACAAATTCCACGTTTCATTCAATTTTGCTAACCAATCAATAAAATTTGGATAAGCTGATTTGTTTGGAAAAATACTTTGACAGGAACCAACTTACCTGTTTGCACTTCTTCCCAAAATTTGCTTTCTATCAGTCAATGTATGGCTATTTTAGATGGTATGACAGATGGACTAACAGAAATCACAGAATTTTATATATAGATAGATTTCCAAAATTGAATCACTTTCAACTCTTGAGAAAGTTTGAAAAATTCATACCCATAATTTTAGTATTTAATCATCCCTGAAAGACTTTATGTTCCATACAACATATTGCTTTTCTTAATATTTTTATTATTCATCTTTTATTCCCCACTTTTGAAAAGCAACTAAACCCCAGAATTTTATATTTTTGGCTGCTTGTGTTAAATGTAAAGGATAAAGATCAATGGTATCAATAATTGGTTGATAGCAATTCTTTAAGGCTTACACTGATTTAAGTCTCTATGCTGATCTCTCTCTTTTGATTTGAACCCTTTCATCAAACACTGGACTTTGATATTTTTGGTTACTTGTCTTATGTCTCAAAGACAAAGATAACTGGTATCAATAATTGGTTCCTAGTGATTCTATAATGCTTACATTGATCTAAGTCTGTACTCAAATCTCTTTTTCTATTGTTTAATTATCAAAATTGGTTCCTAGTGAATATATAATTCTTACATTGATCTAAGTCTGCATTCTGACTTTTCTTTTTCTTCATAAACTATCAAAAGTTGGTTATAGTGATTCTATAAAATTTACACTGATCTAAATCTCCCTGATCTTTCTCTTCAAGTATCAAAAGTTGATTTATAGTGAGTCTATAATGTTTACACCAATCATCAAGTCTGTACTCCAATCTCTTTTTCCATTCATCAATTATCAAAAGTTCATTCCTAATGATTATAATGTTTAATCTAATTCTACTTTCTGATCTCTTTTCTCTTCATTAAGTGATCACTAAAAAGTTCTATGCTTGTATATAATGCAATCCCAACTATTATGTAACTTTCCCTCATTCTTGGAGGGCTGACAACAATTTGTGTAAAATGTGAGCCTCCATATTTCAACAAAAGAAAAGAAAAAGAATTTTAAGGTAAATTTAAAAAAAAAATCAACACCACTTTTCTTCGTTTAACTATTTCTTTAGACTTTGAGATTGTTCTCTGCTTAAAGGGATAAAAAAATGATGGTTTGTGCCATGAAAAAAAGGATCTTGTGACTATTCACAAGAAATTAACATTGCATGTTGTCATTCTTCTTCTTCTTCTATATGCCATGTTCTGATCATGGCTCTCCACAATTTCCTGTCCTTTGTCAATCTTAGTAATGGTTGTTTTTTTTTTTAGAAAACAAAAACAATCATATACATCACAAGTTGGTTAAATCAACATATGAATAAGGATCATTAGATGCAGTTTGAACTTTGATGATACAAATAAATTACAAAAATTGTGTATAATGTGTCATATGCCCTACTCAACGAATAATTTATAATGCAATCATACACCAACCAGGAGATATATACATTATCACGTCTATGGAGAGATATGGGCTATCTCACCCAGACCATGACAAATGGACAATTAGTAAACAAAAATATTTTAAAGAACACTGTTCGATTGAGATAATCAAACAGTAGTCTTTTCCCAGGTTCGCTTCAGTTTCAACACAAATACCCATCCACAATTCAAAGATGAACGATAAGGCGTAATAAATTTTGGTATAAGAATTTTAATATATATACATATACACAAGATATTACAATAAAAGAAAAATATAAGCATGAGTAAAGCATCTGATGACCAGAATCTCAAGACTTATGTTGGGATACCAAAATATGCCCAAATCCAAGTGGATTCAACTGAACCCGAACGGACAAAAAAAAAATAAGTATGAATAACTACGAATGCAGAAATCAATGCATTATCAAAGTAAAAAAAAAAAAAATGGGATAGGATTTATATATTACTATTTTGACATGTGGAAAGGTGTTTGTGAGAACATAAAATTTATGGATGCATGTTCTAACACGGGTCCAAAATATATAGTTACTTATCTTTATATTCAGTTCTCTCTCTTACTCATTGTCCTTTCTTTTCTCTCTCACGGTTCCTCTTTTCTTTCTTTATTTTCTTTACACAAATTCAATTTCAAACACGGTCTGGATGCAACAGAGATATATACTTTCTTCTTCTCTTTTGTTTCTCTTTTCTTTCTTCAAACACAGGCTGTATTCTCAGAGTGCAAATTTCCTTGCATCCTCTGTGATAAATAACTCGATTTATCTTCTTCAATCTGGAGTTGACGAACAGAAATATACATCCTTATATTTCTTATCCAGAGTTGCTTATGATGAATCGGACAAGTTCCATCATTACCAAAATGAGTCTCATCTTTCTGTTCATAAGTTATCAGCGCTTCGATTTCGAGTCTTGCTCCTTCAAAGACAAGACAGCAACTGACTTCAAGTAATTTTCTAATTCCCACGTGTCCTGCATTTTTTGGTGCGAATTCCAGTTCCTGCTGCTTCACGACCTTACGTCAGTCCCTGTCTAGATTCTGTCTAGACGTCTGTTGCTACGGGTAACTGGGTCAGTCAACCTCTTGACCTGCTTCTCCAAAATGACTTGAAACTCCCATGTGACCCCTTCTGTTGTCAAGCGGAGATTAACCTTAATATATGCGTGTATGTGTGTTTGGTCTATCTGCATTCATAACAAATGCCAAACCTCCCTCAACTTCTACTTTTGATTCTGATACAAAATTTCCTCTTTTATATTTAAAAAAATATGGTAATAAATTCAGCATAAGCTCCAAGATAAACTGAAATAAGACTTTTCTTTCTCTTCATCAAGTATCAAAAGTTAATTCATAGTGATTTTGTAATGTTTGCACCAATCAACCTATGAATAAGGATCACTGGATACAGTTGGTCTTTCACTTATACAAATAAATTGCCAAAATTATGTATAATACCAATTCCCTTTACTCCAATTTTTTATTTTGATTCTCATTCAAAATTTCTCAAAAAATTTGTTAATGTTGTCTCTTCTCTTGGACTTTCTAGGTTGGTTCTCTCAACGCTTGTTTTATGGCCAAAAGAGGATTTAAAGTCTCACTTTATGAACTACGAAAAGGTTGGTATGTTTACAATTTGTCAAATTATCTTTGATCTCACTTCATATTTTGAATTTGATAATTAAATTTTTCTTTTCCTGGCCTTTTTTTTTTTTTTTTTTGAAAAGAAAATTATTATAATTGTTAAAAGCAGATAATCCGGAAATTGTCAAAACCAGTTTTCCTCTGCAAAGATGGGCAAATCTAAAAGATCAATAAAAAGAAAAGAGGAGTGGTTTGTTTTAATAAGAGAGAGAGCTATTTTGGATTGTATTTTAGAGTCAATAAGGTACTTGCTAGAAGAATTTGAAAATCAATGGATTGGATGCAAGATTCAATATTTGTTGCTGTGTGTATTCTCAAATCATGAATAAATATTAAAATGGAATTTACCACAAAATCTCTGATCTATCCAAACATTCACATAAACACACAAGGGTTCTTTTCTAACTGTTAATAAAGTTAATAAAATTGCTTGTGGTTTGGCTTTTATAATTTAAAATAAAAAAAACCTAGTGAGGAGCTAAGTCAAAGTAAAAATGAACCTTAGAGTCCACAAAAGATTTCTTAAGTTTGTTGTGGCTATAATCTCCAGCTATTCAAGTGTAATGTCAATCGACATCTCCAGTTGCCTTGATCTATCCACTTCCCTCATCTTCTATCACTTCTATCTGATCTTGTTCTAAATTTTCTGTAACCCCTTAAGCCCTAGTGGCTTCCCCGCCTTGCTTGGGGTGAAATGCTTACATAAAAAAAAAAAAAAAAAAAAAATTACATATTTTAAAAATGACAAAAAAAAAAAATATATTAATATGAAAAATTATTTAAAATTAAAATTATTTATAAAAAAATATTTATTAAAAAATAAAATTATATTAATATTAAAATATTTATTTAAAAATATTTATTTAAAGTATAAAAATTATACAATTAATATGCATAAAATATTTATTCAAAATATGACAAAATGTTTATTCAAATAATATTTATGCCATAAGGATTATGGGATCTCTCTAGATTCTTTATTTTAAACTGCCCACACTTCTGCATCATATAACCAACTTAATCATTGTAAGCAGTGTCCCACAACCACAAGTTCTCATGAAATGGCTATTGTCTGGTTCACATTCCTTCTCAGTCTCTTGAACAGGAGTAGAGGTTTATCCCTTGTTTCCTGTTTAGGATTAGGTTTCTGGTTTTTTTCTAAAGTCTTTTTCATTTTCCAAAGATTAGTCCCTTGCATCTTAGTGGTATTCTTGTTTTGCTTGGGGTGAATTGATTAAAAAAACAACACAATAAATGTCTTTCTCCTTTCAAAAGAAGGATTTTTTTTCTTTTACTTAAGGGGGATGAGCAGGAGATGAGTGACTAAGGCATTCACTGGGTAAATTGCCTTCTTACCTTACACAGAATATTTTGCTCTTTTACTCAAGTTTTTTTGTCCTTTAGTCCATTTCTTCTTACTTCTCACCCACACAACTTCCCCTGGGACTAAAGGTGGCAAAGATCTGACATTCTGCTTTTCCATGCAGTTGTCACAAAAGTCACAAGTTTTTATCAATGTCTGAAACATAGTTATAAAGGCTTCCACGCTCTTAGACTATTCTTGGTTCCTCATGTGAAACACAAAATGTTTGTATGTGTCATTAGTTTTGCCAACTGCATACCTGTCGAATGCTTGGAGAATTTCTTTAGGTGTTCACTGTTTGTTGGATGAAGGAAATTGGAAACCATTATATAGTTTTAACCTATCATCCCCTAACCTGTATAGCAGTAACACTGTCTGGTACTCTAGTGGCTGCCAGTGCCCATGTAAATACATGATAATGACATAGTTATGCCACTTCAGTTTAAACAATTTCCAGTTTTCTGCTAAATTGCTATTCAAGCATATCTTATGCCTGCTACTGACTGCTGACCACGTAATTCATTTCCAGTCAGGTCGGCTATCTTTTTTAAATCCAGGTGATTGGAATTTTGACAGTATCAAACAAGAACACAAAAAAAATACCACTTATCTGTTTTCTCCTGTACTATTAGTGTCTCCTTTTCATGGTTCTGTAGTCACCAAACTCCTGAACTGCTATCACCATATTTCATACTCATTCTCCACCTATGCTCATCCATAATAAGCCACATGACAAAGCCTGAATGTTATTATGACCATAAGTTTTTATAAAACAATAGAGGGTTATTAAGCAAGGGAGATAAGTGGAACATTACGTTGCTCCCTTATTTTTTTTTTTTAAATCATATCATATCATTCCATGCAAGGCACTAAGACACAAGGGATTACTGTGCGTTAAAGAGTAAGAAAAGAGGGATGCATTATTAAGGTGTGAAAACAATAGAAGAGTAATCAGGAAGACAATAGATAACAATTGACATTGCATTTAAATTTTTGAAGATTAAAATTGGCTGGAAAGTTTGGGACCAGAAGAGAGTTCTATAAGTGAGAAGTGTGAAAAAAGAAGCTGTTAGCATAGAACTTATGGTTACATCTAACCATTTCAACTGTAAATTGATGAGACCTTGCCACCAATCTAGTACTGCATTTAAATTCATAAAGTCTAAGTACCATAGTGGAAAGTAATATTTATTTTGAAAAATACAAGAGTGGGGGTAGGGGAAGGCTAGTTTTCAATTTGTCTTATCTTAAACTTAACTAGCCACAATTACTGACCCAAACATACCATAGTATTCCTTACACCAAAATAACACATTCTTACTTCAGCCACCATAATACCTCAAAGTCTCTATGTAGTCTTAACTAGTTCCCATACGTACAATTTGTCTATGGGGGTGGGAAATAAAAATAACAACATTTAAAAATGAAACCCCAATGAATAGTAGAAAATTCATCCAAATAATAATCATGAAAGTATTTGTAGAAAAGGCACAGGGAAGCTACATTATGGTAGTGGGAAAGTGACTGAAGCTGAGACACCAGGTCAGGACCAATGATATTGCTGATTCTTCTTTGGATTTTATCAAGAATCTCTAAATATATACAGCAAGAGCACTGGACCATATGTAGCAACAATATTCAAATCATGGAAGAATGTTAGACTTATAAATATGTAAGATAGATTCTGGAGAGAAAAATTGTTTAGCTCGACACAGTGAGCCAATTTTTTTAGCAGCAAACCTAGCAATGGATTCAATATAATCTTTCCACTTCATGTCAGCTGAGAATGTTATCCTGAGAAAGCGCAATATGTCACTCTCATAGAAGTTAGCCTCAGCCAAGTTGATGGGAGGCAGGAAAGAGTCTTTCAGGTGATTAATAGAGAGAAATTTCATTTTGGATGTGTTAAAAGTTAACAAGCCATTCCTTGCCCCAGTTAACAACAGATTGTAGGTCATTTTTTTTAGATAAGCTGCCAATTTAACCTTGTCAGACTTACTATCAAGACAGGAGTAAATGGTTGTGTCGTCAGCATAGATATCAATTGGTAAACTGATGTCATCAGAAATGTCATTGCTGAAAATTAAGAACAAAGTAGATCCAAGGCTAGAGCCTTGGGTGACACCTGCATTAATTCAAAAAAATCTAGAAGAGTGGCTGTTCAAGACAATTTTTCATTTGGGGATTTGAGAAGAAAGACTGAATCAGTTCAAAAATACATCCATACATACCGTAGCCTTCCAACTTTTGAAGTAGACGGGTAATTCCAAACCCTATGAAATACTTCTGAGATGTCCTAGACAATAACTTGAGTTTCACCAGTCTTATCTAAAGCTTCAACAATAATCATTAGTGCATCAGCAGTTCACCTAGAGAAGTAAAAGCCATCTGCTTCTCTGAAAGAAGGCCCAGCGATGAGAAATCCTTAACCAATTCAGAGTTGATTAGGGCCTCTATTAGTTTTCCAAAAAGAGGCAGAAACCTAACAGGTCAATAGTTTGAAGGGTCAGACGGTTGATCTGAGTTCTTAAAAATTGGAATAACAGAGGAGGATTTCTAACAAGTGGGAAAGAAAGAGGCAATGAAGCATTTATCATAGAGTTTAGAGTGAACAGGAGCCAATTCGGGAACATATTTCTTAAGGACAATTGCAGGGATACTATCAGGTCTACATGCTTTGTGGGGATACAGTTTGTACATGATAACAGAAACCATGGAAGGAATTATATGCATTTCACTCAACAGAGAGTGGAAAGTCAGGTAAAGATACTCCAGATGAGTCAAGAGTAGAGTTTGAGGAGAATTTATGAGACAGACAATTTGCTTTCTCAGCAGATGTTAACACCACAAAATGCGTGAAGAGAGGAGGAATAGAAAACTTACCCTTATTTAATATAATATTACTGAGCTACCAGTAGTCGCAAGAGCCAAAGTTGTTAGAGGCTGTACAGTGCCTCATTCTATCAGCAAACAAAGACTTAACTTCTTCAAGGACATGTTTACATTTTTCATAAGCAGTTACGAATAGGCATCTGTTATGATCAGAACTGTCACACTGGTTTTTAAAACAATTTTAATTACATGTCTCCTATAAATTTTACAAACTTTGAGAAAAAATATAAAAGATATATTTTCTTCTCTTTTGTTATAGTGGAACACACCTATTCTATAGTTAATAGACTCTCCCACCTATAATAAGTAAGAGTAGTAGGAGTCGCTCAGTGAGTTGGTCAGTCAGTCAATGTCGGATGACCGTGAGTTGGATACTAAAGTATCAGCGACCACAACTAGATTTCTCTGCATTATACCTATTATATCAAGTTCCTAACGTTTTGTATGTTGAACTTATTTTAGGACCGACTTAGTACAAATACAAGCCTCCACTGTGAAATCACTCCACAATATCTTTAAAACTAACCCTGCTTCTTTTTAAACAGTTATTTATCATTAAAAATGGTTTATTGAATGTCCATCTGTTAATCAACAAATGTTGAAGATGCTCTTTTCTCTCTGATTAGATACTTTCAAGTAAGTACAGGTGTGGGTATTTTTTCTTTGTCTCCAGTCAGTGACTCCAGGAATCCATTAACATGTAATAAAATAACATGTAGAAAGAATCTTTTCCTGTGTCTTTTTAAAAACCTTTATATATATATATATATATATATATATATATATATATATATATATATATATATATATATATATATATATATATAATCTCAAGGAGGATGAAAACTGAGATCTCAATGTTAAATCAGAGCAATTAATTCAAGTTTTTCACCCTTGGAAGTGTGGTCTGATGAGCCAGGGAAAAAATTAAACCCAATGGACCCTTAAAGTTGTCTGTTTTCAATTATATATCAGTAACAATATTGAGGAAAAATGTATGACAAAGTGGGAAAAATTTTCTTGTGTTGCATTTTGTCCTTTAGGATTTCATCAGATTAAATTTGTTTATGTTGGCATGACTACACATGTGCATGAACAAGGGATGCTGGGAATTTTAAATTAATTTTTTTTTTTTTTTAAATCTAGCTAATTTTATTTAGATTCTTTTTCTTTCTATCATTTTTGTTAGTAGGTATCCTACGCTGTCATAATAGAAGTTCAAATGCATTGGTTGCTACCCATAACCAGATTGGCCACAATTTTGGCATAAAAAAATGTAACTCTGCTCAAAGGAGAAAACAATTTACTATGACAAAAAGGTCAAGAGATGGCCTTGATTGCAAGGTCATCTATAGAAAAATTATGCCCTGGCTCTTACAACATTTCACCATTCCTGGCAGAACTTCTATTATCACAGTGTCTGATATCTATTAACAAAAGTGACGGAAAGAATAAAAACCTAAATTAAATCAGCTAGAATAAAAAGAAATTTAAATTTCCAGCATCCCTGGTTTGTGTGCATGTGTAGTTGCACCAATATAACAAACTTAATCTGATGGAGTCCTTAAGGACAAAATGCATCATAAGATAATATCCTTTCGACTTTGTCAGACATTCCCCCCACCCATGTATATATATATATATTATATATATATTATATATATATATATTATATATATATTATATATATATATATATATATATATATATATATATTATAATATATTATATATATATATATATATATATTATATATATATATATATATATATATATATATATATATATATATATATATATATATATATATAATATGTATGTACTGGAAATATAAATTTGTCATGAACAGAACATTCTACTATGGAAGCCATTCTGAAATCTATTTAAGGTTTACCTACATTAAAAGTTGGTCTCAGGATGAAAGGATATTATTCTTTTTTGGCTTCTTTTTGATTTCTGCTTGGATTCTAAAGTTCATTAAGAAAAATATATTGCTAAGGAGCAAGTTGACCAATTGCCACCTGATTTTTTTTGTCATTTTCAGATATGAGAAAGGAAGAGCATGTAAAAGGTCGAAGTATCAATTTGGCTTTGTCAGTACGGGGATTGGCATCCCTTGAGGCAGTGGGATTAAAAGAAAAAATCATGCCTTATGGAATCCCCATGTATGCACGATTGATCCACAATAAAGATGGTACCAAGAAAAGAATTCCTTATGGGAAAAGTCACCAGGTGAGAAAAAGAAATTCTCTTGAATCTTTTGTTCTCAAAGATTTAAATCAAATTATGTGAGGCAGTTAAGAAGAGTTCTTACTCTTTCATTAATTGTTCTTGTTTTGATGAGATCACTATAGAAATTAAATATCTTAAATGATTCCACTTGTTAAAAACTTTCCTCTTTCAGTTGCCAAGTCAGGATTTAATGGCTATAGTCACCTTGGGATCATTGGGGACATTCACAGTCTGATTTCTCTAGAAATTGATACTGGAAAAAATCTAGAAAGCTACTTGAAATGGCTTCCAGCTTTTTCAGAAAGCAATCAATTTATGGATAAAATGTTTTGTAAATTTGTTTTCATCCATTTCTAAAAAAAGTCAAAATATCATTTTTGGATCTGTATAGAAACAATTTTTTTGTATTCCCAGAAAAAGAAATAAAATTTTGAGTAAAATTAACAAAATTTATTTTAATAGCAGAAGATACACTCGTAATAAAAGCAGGAACCATTTTTGGATGTTTACTGTCATGTGATAAAAGTTGATGATTATGAGATTTACTTAATGGCTCAAGGTCACAATATCTGGAGCAGCCAGTTAAAATCAGCCACTATTGAATTAGTCTGGGAGACAAACTTGCTTATCGTTAGGCAAATGTAGTGAGTTTAATCCCCACTTAAGGCTCCATTGATCCAGCCTTATGTCAAACTAAGCCAATTATAATAATTGTGCTGAACTTTTGGTGTAATTTATATCAAAATCAATTGCATTAAGCATTCTATTATTTATTATGTCAAGTCTATTTATTACTAGTGTATCCATGCTGTCAAAATTGATGGCAAGAAGGAATGTATTATAATATGTATTATATTGTAAGTAATTTTAATTTAAAATAGTTTGTTGGTAACGTTAGTAATTGAACAGTGTACAATTTATAAACACCTAAGGAATGATATCTGTATATTATCCTCATAAATGTTACATATTTACAACCAAAATTATGTGTACTGCAAAAGTTCCCAAAGTAGAATATTTTTTGTGTAAACTTTAAAAGGTCTGAGTAATCTTTGACAGTCCGTAGATTCAATCTGTAATTTCAAAGTCTGTTTATTTCTCATCCTACTAAGAGCAACATATCATCAGATATTTTTTTTTAATTTTTATTTTTGTTCCACACCTTTTTTTTTAATTATAATTCTTAAAGTTTAAAATGAATTTCTAAACATGAACAAAGCATTCTTGAAGATATGTGTCATAATTTATATATATATGAACCCTCTTCAATAGTGAGATCAGTATGCGTCAATGGAACCAAGTTAGCACTACACCGGGTGAGTCATTGTTATTTTACACACTGCCTCTCAACAATTGTGACATACTCAAAAAAAGTGTGTGTGTATATATATATATATATATATATATATATATATATATATATATATATGCCAAGTCTATTATTTATTCTGTCAATGTCAAGTCATGGGTACTACTGCTACCATGTAACCCAGTACTACCTGCCACATGGTCACATCAATAGTGACTAAACCATTCCTCCATCAGGTTTTTCTGGTGAAGAGGCTGGTTAGACACCCAGCAGGATTAATAGCAAGATTTTCTTGATGAAACTTTTTTTCTTTCTTTTTTTTTTTTTATTTTTTTCAATCATTTTACCTCCAGTAAGGAGATAAAGTCACTAAGATGCAAGGGTTACTGGGAATAAAAATCTGAGAAAACATTGAGAAGATAATAAAATACCAGGATTCAAAGAGAGAGAATATGAGGATTGATGTTGTATTTAAATTTTTGAAGATCGTAGTTGACAGGAAAGTAAGAAGCCAGATGAGTTTCACAAGCAAGATGTAGAAGAGTTTTTGTAGTATCAGCAGCTACCTAGCACAATAGAGTAGTCTGAGTGTCATGGCAATTTATATAGTGAGTGTGGTGATGAAACATTAGGTGGTGAAGGGCTTCCTAGACTGAAGTTAATGATCAGGACAGATTGTTTCTCCAATGGAATAAACAGCTACGCCTATGAACTATCAAAGGAAGTCTGACCTGGAGAGGGATGAACTCTGCTAGGTTTACTTGCCCATGACACACTATATATAGATTGGCTCTCAGCCCACATATATCAAGGGAACCGGTCAGGTGCTCAGCTGCCCAGCACTCCTACAGTCACACCCAGACATAGAAATGATGATGATGATTCCTATTATTTCAGTCACAAAAATATCAGTTTCTCTAATTGTTGCTTTTATCCTTTTCAAATGAAAAACTGTTTCAATCAATTCACACACTAAGTGAATCAAGTAACATTATCCTTAGAGCTGTGCCATTGTCTTTTTTTGTTAATGTGTGTCCGCACCTTGCTGGCACTATTTATCAATCTATGACCTTTTCACCAAACACTAAACATTATTTCTGTTCAGATGTTCAATGTTTTTCACTTATTTTCTTGCAGTGATGCAAGTGAGTAGTGAGTTTGATTTTCACTGAGTGCTCCACATTTTTGGACTTGTGTCAGATGTAAACTATTCTTAGAAAATCATTTTAATGTGTTGTAATGGTTAACAAGCTTGTCTTGCATGTTCAATTATAACTGAGTAGTGAGTTTGATTTTCACTGGGTGCTCCACACTTTTGGTCTTGTACCAGATGTAAACTATTCTTAGAAAATCATTTTGGGCATTTTGATGTGTTGTGATGGCTAACAAGCTTGTCTTGCTTGTTCAGTTATGACTGAGTAGTAAGTTTGATTCTTACTCGGTTTTTACTGCTTTCAGCATTGTGCCACATCTAAGCTATGTTTAGTAAATCACCTTGTTTTCTTGCAATGATCAAAATTTTAATGTATGAAGACTTCAAAAACAAGACAGAAATTAAATATCTTCTTTTGAGGTTATGTATTCATTGAAATTTCATGTCCCCTTCCCTTCAGTTATAAGTGACAGCAAGCAAGCCTTCTCAGTTCTCCAGCACATTTCTCAGTGTTCTCTATCATAATGTTTTTTTTTAGTGGAGAGTATGCATGTTGACTTTTCCCATGATATAAACAAACATGTTTTTACTTTTGATGAAGAGGCGGCAATGGGTGAAGAAATTCTCATGAATTTTGGTGATTTTATACATTTTTTGCACATCCCTGCTACTGATGTTGTGTTTGTTGTGGCCAGGAATAAGAATTGAGTTTTCATTTAGAAATGTTTCTTCATTTCAGTGGTGATCAACAAAGAAATGTCTAGGTTATATTTTTATTTATTTTCTATCTTGGCAGTTCATAATGTCTGTGGACAGAAGAAAACTGAATGAAATTCTTCTCTCAGGTGAGTTGTTGATGTTTGTCTCTTTGCAGAGACATTGTACATTTTATAAGCACTTGTTTAAAGGAATTTGGCTTTACAAAGGAAGTCTTGGATTTCAAAAATTCATTCCCTCAACCAACATCTTTTCTACAAATATTTTCATGGCGACTGCTCTGATAAGCTTTTTTCTTGGTGCCATGTCTACATAAATTTAAGCATGCTACTAAATTGGCATCTAGGTCCCACCCGTTTACTGTCGAAATAGCTAAATGCAACTGCCACTTCTACTCTAAGAGTTTCTTTTCTTGAATTTCCTGTCTGTGGAAGTTCTTTCTGTTTACTTGCTTTCCTGATAATCTTCAAAAAATTTAAATGCAATGTCAATTGCCATATTCTGTTATCATGAATCCCATTCATCTTTTGTTATCATTTCTCAATCCTCCCTGTACTCAGTTTTTTTATTTCACTTTCCCTCCCTGTAACCTGTATACTAGTGGAATTTCTGCCTTTTTTTTTTTAGTTCTACTTTAAAAAAATAAAACAAACAATAAACAAAGCTTGCAATCACTTACTTTTGACCAAATCAAATGTATTTTAAAGTAAATCATCAGGATACTTTAGAGATTAGATAAGAGCATTAATAATATTGTCTCTCGATTTTTTTATCTCTCTCTTTGGATTAATTTGGGTCTTTCTTGGCTCTTGGCAATCTCTCCCTCACAGTTCATTTGTGTTTTTGTTCTTTGCTTGTCTCTTATTTCTTTTGTGGCCATGTTGTTCTTTCCTTTTTTTCTCCTTTTTTGTCTATTAGCTTTTCTCTTGATTCTCACCATGCTTTCTCTCTCTTGGTTTGTATGTTTGTATGTATCTCTTTCTCTGTTTTTCTCCCTATCTCTTGATTGTCTATCTTTCTTGATTCTCACCATGCTGTCTCTCTTTGGTTTTGTATGTTTGTATGTATCTCTCTTTCTCTGTTTTCTCCCCATCTCTTGATTGTCTATCTTTCTTGATTCTCACCATGCTGTCTCTCTTGGTTGGTTTGTATGTTTGTATGTACCTCTTTCTCTGTTTTTTCCCCATCTCTTTGATTGTCTATCTTTCTTGATTCTCACCATGCTGTCTCTCTCTTGGTTTGTATGTTTGTATGTACCTCTTTCTCTGTTTTTCTCCCTATCTCTTGATTGTCTATCTTTCTTGATTCTCACCATGCTGTCTCTCTCTTGGTTTGTATGTTTGTATGTATCTCTTTCTCTGTTTTTCTCCCTATCTCTTGATTGTCTATCTTTCTTGATTCTCACCATGCTGTCTCTCTTGGTTTGTATGTTTGTATGTATCTCTTTCTCTGTTTTTCTCCCTATCTCTTGATTGTCTATCTTTCTTGATTCTCACCATGCTGTCTCTCTCTTGGTTTGTATGTTTGTATGTATCTCTTTCTCTGTTTTTCTCCCTATCTCTTGATTCTTTTCTTTGTCTATCTTTCTTGTTTCTCATCTTTGATTGGAAGGGATTCTTAGCTGAAAAAATGGATGCTCTCAACTCCATAAGGGATGTGAAAAAAATTATTTAATCCAAATTCAGTGATACTATTTTAATCAAATCTGATCAGCATGACTGCATCATCAAATTTATTTTTAATCATCCCCCCCTCCAAGCAAGAAAAAGAAAAATATTTTTAAGGAGTAGGAACAATAAAAGAACAGAGATTAAGAAGACAGTAGATAATGATTGACATTGCATTTAAATTTTTGAAGATCAAATTTGACTGGGAATTAATAGTTATCTTAACCTTAAGATTTAAGCTTTTTAATTCTTTATGAATCATTTTCCTTGTCAACATTGATTTTAGTAGAATTTCTTACTACCATAAGACCATAAACATTTATAAATTTAATCCTAAAGAATATAATGCTTTAATTAAAAAAAAAAATAATTAAAAATTATAAGAAGGTGAATATTAGCACTATTTATTTAGTTGATAGAATTAACACTGGTTGTTCAGGTTGACAAATTAAGGAAAATGATTCATAGAGAATTAGAATGCTTAAATCTTAAAGTTAAGATAACTACTAATGTTAACCAAGTAGATTTTCTTGATGTTACACTAGACCTTTTTAATGATGTATTCCAACCTTATATGAATAATAATGCTAACCCAATATATATTCACTCCAATTCTACCCATCCCATCTGTAATCAGACATATACCCTTATCTGTAGATTGTAGGATTAGCAACAATTCATCTGACAAAGATGTGTTTGATAAATATTATGGTGTTTATAATACTGCTTTAAAAGATAGTGGCTACAAGTATGCTGAAATCAAGGATAGAAAATATGATAATATTGATCTAAGGAAAAGAAATAGGAATAGGAAAATAATTTGGTATTCATCCCCATTTAATCAATTAGTCAGTACTAAGTTAAGCCAAAAGTTCCTCCATTTAATTGATAAACAGTTTCCTAAAAGTAACCTTCTTAGTTTTAATGTGTTTTGTTAAATATTTTACTAAGTTATAGCTGCACAGATAATCTTAAGAAAATTATAACAAAACACAATAATAAAATTTTAAACCAATTTAAAAATTTGGATAATAATGCACATTCCAAGATAAATACTGTTGATAATATTAACCAATGTAATTGCAAGAATTCTAACAAATACCCATTACAAAACAGATGTTTAACCAACTCTCTTATTTATCTAAGTACTATTTCTACAATAGAGAATCTGACTGTTGAAAAATTTTATATTGTTATTACTAATAATTCTTTTAAGACTAGGTAGTATCAACATATTTTATCCTTCACCAATAGTACTTATAATAATAGTACATCTCTTTGTAAATATTTTTGGAATTTAAAAGAAGCTAATAAAAGTCCTATGGTAAAATGGAAAATTTTAGAAAAAGCTAGAGTATGTAGATTTTTAAATGAACCCTGTTTTCTATGCTTACATGAAAAATTAGAAATTATTAGATTTTCTGATAAAAACTCATTTTTTAAACGAAAGAAGTGAATTCACTGTAAATTGTAGACATAGTCTACTTTTTACCTTACACTATGTTTAAACTTTGAATTTGATAATACTTTTTCTTATAGTAATAATCAGTAGATGGAATGAGCTGCACCTTGTATGGCTTACTATTCTATTTGTAAGATTCATTTTGATTTAATATAGCACTGTATTGATGTTTAGTTAGTTTAACATCTTATATGGACGCTCTTTATTTAACAGTTCCATATTAATTTGTCTAAGTAATTTTGTATTTATGATCTGTTTTTTTTTTTCAAACAGTTAAGTTATTTACCAGTTTCTTAAAGGGGCCTTTTATTTATCGACTACAAAATTTTATGTAGAAAGCTGACCGAGTACATAACTAGTTTGCATTGTTAAATTACCTCCTTACTTCTGTTGATTTTACTTCTTAGGAAAGTTGAATGCCAGACTTCTATATATCTTATGAAATAATGTAACCATTTGCATCTGTTCATAATGAAATTGTCTAGGATTTACATGCAGACAACTCCGTGTCATGACCTATATAATAAAAAAAATTTTTTGGTGAGTTTGAATTTAGCGTAAGTCATATTCCATTAGTTAACATTTTTTTTTTTTTTTTTGAGGAAAGAGTGGAAGTATTAAAATAATCATTCACTTGCCAGTAGTTTACCATCACCTGAGGAGACATATTTGTAGTGTTGAAGCATAGTTGCAATTGTGTAGGGATTTTTAACATATTTTTGTTTTAATATCCTAAAATAAATAATATTTAGCTCTACTGTGTATTGAGCACTCTTTTAAATTAAATGTTATGGACAGTGGAATTATGCTCCATATGTTCTCATTTTACACACATATATATATATATATATATATATAATTAAATGTATTATATATATATTATTATTTAAATATTATTTTTAGTGGATACCAATATTTAAGTAGATGCTCTGTTTATTTATTAAACAGCATATTTACTTATTATCATCTACTGGCCTGAATATTCGAGAAATCTTTTTAGAAGAATGTGTGTCTCTAGCAGGATTCCAACCTGTGTTTCTTTAGGGGAAACTGTCATTAGATCTGATGTGCTTTGACCTCTTGGCTACAGAGAACCTGATGGTCAAGCTATGCCTGAATAGTGCTTTTAAACATAGATTTTTCCCAATTCTCAAAATATACATTGCTGTTCAGTTTCATTTGTTAACTTAAAAGTAATTTTAGGAATGGATTTTTCATTTATTAATCTGGAATATTTTATTATTTAAACATTATTTTTTGTGGATACCCATATTTGAGTAGACTTTCTGTTTATTTATTAAACACTATATTTATTTATCATCTACCAGCCTGAATATTTGAGAATAAATAAAAAGAGCCTCAACCGTTAGACTACATCTAGCTAAATGTATGTATTACAATGTGGATTTCGGTGTGAAATTTTTATCTGCGAAGCCCCTAAAATTTATTGTTTAATATGGACAGTATTGCATAGACTGCAGTTTGAGATGCGTCACTGAGACATTTGAAATCTCACAATTTCTACCTCTTGTATTTATCTAAATTATTGTCAAAATCTAGTGTCTTTACAAGCTACAAATTTGTTCTTTGATATGAACTGAATTTTTCTGATGAATAAAATTTCCCAGACTTGTTCTCTTCAAAATGTGGATCTCTCTTTCAGAATCTGAATCTCATTCAAATGTAGAATTGCATTTTGAGCACAAACTGAAAAATTGTTCCTTCACAGATAAACCCATGACAGTTTTCGAAAAGTAAGTTTTATAAATGTTTTTCTAAGTTCTTTACATTAAAAACAAAATAGCTCAATTTTAGAGTATTTGGCTGAAGGTTTTGATCATGTTTTTTGAATTTTCACCTGGAGTAGCATTTAGAGGTTTTTAAAATTAAATTTATGCAGATTTATAAAAACTAATAAATATTTTTCATTGTTTTTAAAATGACACTGAATGCTTCAACAAAAACAGGATCTTGCCCCCCCTATTCCTTGGCACTGGGTGTGGGGGTTCAAGTAATCTTATCAGTAAGTGTAATGTGAAATTTCTCTTCTTTACATCTTTTTTTAGGCTTTTTGAAAATCTTACCTGGTTTAGGATAGAAGTATGCATGTTTTACCTGGGTTAGCTTGAAGCTCTTACCATAGGTTAACAAAATTATTTCAATGTCCCCTTTTTTTGAGGGTGTGTGTGGAGGGAGCAAGAGATATTTGTAATTAGGTTCATCAATTTTGTCATCATCTAATTAACACAGTTGAAGGAAGTTAGCCAACTCCCAATCTTAATTTTGAGAAAACAAGAATTATCTGGATAAAGGGCAAATTTATAAATGTCCACCTGAAATATGGCCAGAAATATATTTCAGAAAATTGATTTTAGATTTTCAAGATTTCTTTTCCAATGTCTTTCCTCACTTTGATTGTATCCTGTCATAATTTAAATGCAATTTTCCTCCTAAAGAGAATTTCTCTTAATTCTGGTTGATAAAGTTATTAATTCAAGATTTTCATGAAAGAGAAACTTGTAATATATTTGTTATTACATGGAATTTTTTTCTTTTCTTTAAAGGCCAGATGGTGAATTGGTTGAAGAGAATTTTGATGTCATTATTGGCAATGATGGTGCTTTTTCTGCTGTTCGTAACCAACTGATGAAGACAACACGTTTTGATTTTCAACAGTGTTTTATTCCCCATGGATATATGGAGCTGACAATTCCACCCAATTCCAAAGGCGATGTATGTTACACTCATATATATTTTATCTAAATAATGAAATGAGTAAGATCTATGGTAGAAAGATTTATTCTCCCATTTGTATTTCCCCCATTATTGGCATTATTGTATCCATGATATAATAACACCATAGTTCATGGACAGAACAGAATGGCTGAAAGGAAAAAAGAATGTTAAACATGCTTTGTTATTAAAGAAACTTTTATGTTACTAAGACATACACAAACTATATATATATATATATATATACATACATACAATGTCCCATACATAGAATAATATATCTACACAATAAAGCAGAGTGTATAGAGAAACAAAAAAGTAAGGGTCTTGCATATAATATCAAGATACTACTGTGTCTAGCAAGTCTTAGGTTTGAGGACTTCAACCTGGAGTTTCTTTCTATATCTAGGAAGATATATTCCCAGAGGAAAATGGAACATGGACTTGTGGGCTGCAGGTTAGGCAGATTGAGCTTCTGCCCGGGTCATGGGCGGGGGGCAAGCTAAAGAAAGCTGCTGTAAAACAAACTGAAATTTGACTGCCACTTTCATCACTGTATGAAGTGACGTCATTAAGTGGCAGTGACATGACCTATGTGGCTTATGTATATGGGAGATAAGCACCTTCTGTATCCCTACAAAAACATAAGCTGGGCATGTGTAATGAAGTGTACTCACTTTGAGGCTAAAAAATAATTAAACTATATAAAGTGATATATTGAACAATAAATTCTACTTCATGATTCCTCTGTGTGTGGTGGGGAAATAATTATTAATAATATAAGAAGTTAATTATCTTGTTATAATTGTGCTTGTCCCGCCCTTTGTTAGTTCACATGACCATTACACCTTGCCACTTCCTCATAAATAATGGACTATTTCATTTTGATTATGGAGAAAGAGAGGAAAACACACTACTTGGTTTCAGTGAGAAAATGAAAGAAAGAAAGAAGGGAAGGTATGTGTTTAACAGCTGTTTCAGTGAAATGGAAAAAGTTGCCAATTTCAAATCTTTTAATTTGTACCCCCTTACTTCTTAAAATAAAGACCAGCATTCATATTTATGATTGTTTTGAAAGTTGTTAAGCTCAAATATTTAATGATATGATAAGAGAATTTCTATGGATATTTTATTGTTGTAAAACTCGCCATAAGCTTACTCAATCATTAACTTAAGAATTAATATTCATCAGAATATTAAAATAGGAAAGCCATGAAATTTTCATGGGTTAAAACTAGTTTATTTAAATTCATATCTTTTTTATTCAATTTTCAAAGTTTTTTTTTGACGAGATTTTCTATTTTTTAAAAAATTATTTCATCTCAAGCAAATTTATAAAACCACTAACATAGAGTGAAGGAGATTGAGAAAACATTGCTGACAAGAAAGGACAATAAGAGAATGGGGTTCAAGGAGACAGAAGATGATGATTGATGTTGCATTTAAATTTTTGCGGAAGTAAGAAGCTGGAAGAGTGTTCCACATGCAAGTAAAGGAAGACACTACTAGGATAGAATTTATGGTTTCATTTATCAATTTCAAATGATGAGACCTAGCTGCCAATCTAGTACTACACTTAAATTCAAGAAGTCAGTGTACCAAAAAGGAAAATTTATCAGAAAAATTACCATGAAAATATTTATAGAAAAGACAAAAGAGAAGCTACTTTACAGCGGTAGAAAGTGACTGAAGCAAAGATGCCAGGTCAAAATTAATAACATTGCAGATTCTTCTTTGCCAATATGACCTTTCAGTTAATTTGTATTGTTTTTTCATCATGTAACAGTCACTGAAAGACTGGTATATATATGTATGGCTTAGAGATTTTGCTACTTGATAACATGATAGCAGTAATGGGGTTACTTTTCTGAGAATCATTTTTAATGTTCTGTAAAAATATAAAAATAAATATTTATCACATTTATACATTGATGTGTTTAGCTGTAATTTCTTTTAGTCTGCTACCATGTGACCCTTAGAGGTAAGGAAATGTGTTTGTTAGCTACTACCAGTCAAAGACGCAAGATGGCAATGTGCTCCCCACTACTAAATTTGAAATTCTCCTCTAAGACACCATGTGTTCCTTTATCGTATCTTTGAATTTGTTTCAATTTGTTATTGTTTCTGTTTGAGAAATGTTTTCCTTGTTTGTGTATTTCTTTGAAATATATTTTGTTCATCCATTTCCTCTTTTGAGAGAGATATTTATTTGTTTCTAGTTTTCATGACATCTTTCCTAAGTAAAGGGATAACAGCAGTATGAAGTGTGGACTTTTCTCATTTTTTGATTTGGTGCATTCCTTGAGATCTTCTGTTTGTGAAAACAAATGACTAGACAGCAAGTGTTACATGGAAGATATATATATATATATATATATATATATATATATATATATATAATATAAATTCCACCAGATGTAGGAGAACTTCCCATCCCAGCTCCATAATCATACATCAAAATAATTGCTCAACTGTCTTGGTCAGAAAAAAGCTATTTTCTCTTCCAGTTCACCTTTCAAACAAGCCAGTTGCTCCTTGTAGCATTGCTGCAATAACAGTTTGTCCAGGTTACAATTACAAAACTTTCTGCTGACTTTGCTTCTTTTACACAATTCACATGCAATAAATATAATAATTCTTTTGATAATCTCTTGGGTGAGGTTAATTTTAAAAGCAAAATTAAGTACTTGTTTAGAAAATAAAGAGTTAAGTTATTTAACATTTACAATGCAAGCACTAAACAAAACACTAAATACTAAACAAAACACTAAACACTATAGAAGTGATTAGTGGTAAATTTGATTTCTTGATAAAAGTGTAAAAAATTTACAATTGATTGCAGAGATTTTTTTTGTTAAATTTGTACTTAATTAACACTTTGCTTTTAATTTATTTTAATTATTCTTTTTTCATTTTCAGTTTGCCATGGAATCAAATTGTCTCCACATTTGGCCAAGAGAAGAATTTATGATGATTGCCTTGCCTAATCTTGATCGTTCATTCACTACAACACTTTTCATGCCATTTGAGATCTTTGAATCAATCCACAATGAAGATGATCTGATAAATTTCTTTCAGAAGGTTTTCCCGGACTCTATTCCTTTTATAGGAAAGTAAGTGACATTTTTGTTTGTTATCAAATGAACTCTTTTTGCTCATTTATAATGATAATTATTCAGGTTGTAAATTTTAATTCTGTTTCTGGAGAAATTTCACCATTATTGAGTAAAATATATTAAAATCATAGCTACTTTATCTTAGTATATAATTATATCTGATGTTCATGTTTATGTCACTAACTTATACCGCCTGTTACATATATATATAATTCCATCAATAAGAATGTTACATTAGTTTGAAAAAATGCTTTTAGAGGATAAAATGCATTACACAGAATTTTTCACTTTGTCATGACCTCTCATATGTGTGTATATATATATATATATATATATATATATATATATATATATATATTGTGTATTTAGGCAGCAATCCTTCATTTATGCATGTTTCATTAAAAATGACAGACAATGTACTACAGTTAAAAGCTTTTTATTTAATTTTTCTTGTGTTCGCACAAGAACTTTCTTTTTTGGACACAGAGTGTGTAGAAATTGTCCAAATGTTCTATAATTCTGAACACTTTCAGCTCTACATTTAGCCATTATCAAGGATGATTTTATTTTTTTCAGTTTAATTAAGTGTGTAAGTTATGTGTATGCTTTTATTGTGTTAAAGAGATGTTTTATTTTCCGAACATAGTTAGCACATTGTGACCTAGTTCGTAGTTAATATTGTTAAGAATTAACTTTTTTCTTTTTTATTATTAGGGCTCCTATTATTTTTAATCTTTTTTTACAGGTGGATGAGGTTATTATGTTTGTGTTTTCTATTAGCATGTTTTGAATGGAATCTGTTAGGTTTGTGTGTGTGTTTAAATGGGTTCTAATAGAGCTCTGGTCAGATAGGTGTAACGTAAGGCATCTGGATAGGCATGTAGTTGTGTGACTGATGTAATTATTTATGAGTTCAGATTGATCAGGAACACAGTTCCTTAAAAGAGCATTGAAATGAAACATGCATATATATATATATATATATATATATATATATATATATAATATAAAAGGAAAATATATATATATATATATAAAAAACAAAAAGAAAACTAAGTATACACACCTACATACATATTAGGTACACACACACACACACACATATATATATATATATATAATATTAAAAATAGATTAAAAAATAGTTTGTCTGTTTAGTAGAACAGCTTACATTTTTCTCTCTCTATGGCCATCTTTAGAAGCAAATTCCAGAAAAGGGGGACTGTTTTTCATTTAACATAAATGTTTTTATAAGGTGGCCCAAAAGGAGATAAACATATTGTCTGAAATTCCAAGATGATACAGTGCCCCTCTCATCCCTAACAGTATCCTTATCTTTGTTATTTTTATCACATTTTAATGAATTTACATCAGATTAATTGTAATCCTTGCTCTTTAATTTTAAAAAAAAAGACTTTTCAGTAGGAACAATTAAAGAAAAAAACAGTACTGGATGCTATGAAACCTCTGAAACACAGAAGCTGGGACAGTGGAATAAAAATAACAAAGATGAGGATATTTGTTTGAAAAATTCCAGATGTGGAGAACACTGTCCTTATTAAACTCTCTGAAAATTATCTCTCAAAGATTTGAGATTTGTGAAGAACATTGCTTTTTCCACATACAATTTTGACTGATTTTTTTTATGGCTTATCAACCTTTAATGGATTATTTAAATCTGAAAAATATTTTGGATTGTAAGAATAATTCATTTTTGCAAGTGAATATTGCATTAACAATTTTTGGAGAATAGTATTTAACCCATAGCTGTAAGGGAGGAGATGGATCTTTTACAGATTCTATAAATTCATATTTTTTTGGCAAATATTGGTGACTTCATTGGTTAAGCTGTTTATTTGCTATAAACTTGTTTTGCTCAAGTTCCATATTCCCACTCATAGGTTTATAATCTATCAGTCTATGTTTCTACATTGGTAGGTGATGTACCCCCTTGAAATAATATATTTTCTGCCTTTAAGCCTCCCACCCATGTTTTTAATGCATTGTTCTACAAAACGCAAGTCTTCATGTGTAGTATAAAGGCACCTCAACAATATACACCAGAAGCATAAAAATATATTTATACTTATACACTTAGAACAGAAAACATATTCTTTATTTTAATAAAGAATATGTTTTCTGCAATATAATATACAGATTCTAAGCATAGCTTATAATATACAGCAATATAATAGCAATATAATATACAGATTCTAAGCATAGCTTAGATTTGGCAAAAGGCCACTCAGTGAGAATCAAACTCATTATTCAGTTGTAATTGCTCTAGTGAGACAAGCTTGCTAACCATTACACCATACTGAAGTGCCCAGTGGTTTACTAAGCAAAGCTTAGATGTCACACAATGCTGAAAGTATCAAGCCCCTAGGGTACTCCATACTTTCAACCTTGTGACACATCTGAATTTCACTTAGTAAATCAGTGGGCACTTCAGCATGGTGTAATGATTAACAAGCTTGTCTAGAGCAATTATGACGGAGTAGTAAGTTCAATCCTCACTGGGTACTCCATACTTTCAGCCTTGTCACATGTCTAAGTTATGCTTAGTAAATTGCTACAGAACAAAATGTAATCAACTAAAAAACCATTTTTATTCTAGGCAAGAATTGATCAAGACTTTCTTAAGCCGAAAAGCACTTCCTCTGGTTTCAGTCAAGGTAAGGAATTCCAAATTTTTCAGCCTATAGTTGGTGGGACTTCCAACATTCTGCAATCAATGGACATTGACATCAGAACAAATGTTTCCCTATTTTTGTTTGATTATTTAAATTTCAGCCAATATGCTCTCTGGCCTTCTTATTAAGGCCTGAAGTCCTCAGAAGTATTATTATTGCTTAAATTCCTTGACTGAATAATCAAAACTAACAGAAACTCTATTCTCCTTTTGATTAATCTGTAGAAATGATGTCTTGTGTTTGACTTTACTACTTTTGTCTGTAAACGACATCTCATTATTATTCACTTCATGTGGTCCTTTTTGAGACAGTCAAGATTTGTCAACATATCTCCCTCTCTCTCTATCTCTCTCTCATACAGTTCATTTATTAATGCTTATTCCTCTCTTTACTATCCAACTGGACAAGAAATTCACCTGCAAATCTCAAAATTAACCCGACTGTTGATATGATGACGCCATGTATCTAGTCCAGGCTTTTCACAGGACTGACATAGATTTATTTCAGATGTCAACATTTTGGGGTGATTCATTCTATTATATCCTTTTTTTTTTTCTAGTGCAAGCCATATAACAAAGAAGGTAAAGTGGTCATCATGGGGGATGCTGCCCATGCTATGGTTCCTTTCTACGGACAAGGAATGAATGCGGTAAGAGCAAAAAATGCGTTCACTTTCTCTCATGTTTACTCCTGCTTGTTCTGATTAACAAATTTAGCCTAAAAAATAAAACTGCTCTCTTTATTATCTGAGAGAATCCTTTTTACTTTCCATCGGCATGGCTGATGCTAACCTCCAGGTGAGTGACTCATTGTGCCTTCTTGGACTAATGATTTTCAGCTGACATGAAGTAGAAATACTATATTGAATCAGATGCAGTTAACTGCACTTAAGAAAGTTGGTTCAATATTTAATCTTCTTTGTCTTTAAAAGTGACTGATTCCCACACACACACACATTATCCAGCATCATTTCCATTGATGGAAGCATTCTTTGAATTCCTTTTTTGGGATAGCAAGCACCTGCCTCATTGCATTCTCTTGGATTTCCTTGACATCTTGAAATTTTGTTCCTTTCAAGTGGGATTTGATTTTTGGAAAGAGTAAAAAGTTGTAATGGGTGACATCTGGGGAATATGGTGTTTTTTTTTACCTTTATTTTTTTTTTTTTAAATTTTTAATTGGTATCCCCCTAAAAAAGGCAGTAACATGCAAGGGGTTACAGGGTGTGGTGGAATTAGGAACAGAAAGACTAGTAATGAGTAGAAAGAGAAAAGAATAATCAGGAGGACAGTAGGTAGTGATTGACATTGCATTTAAATTTTTTGCAGATTAAAGTAGGTCAGAAAGCATGGAACCAGAAGGAAGTTCCACATGCGAGAAGTGTGAGAGAAGAAACTGTTAGCATAGAAGTTATGACTACATCTAGCTAGCTCAACTGTAAATTGATGAGATCTCACTGCCAGTCTAGGTAGCATAGTGAAGAGCTCATCCAAACAATTACCATGAAAGTATTTATAAAAAAGGCACAGAAGCAACTGTATGGTGGTGGGCAAGTGACTGAAGCCAAGCCGCCAGATCAGGACCAATAATATTGCTGAATCTTCTTTGGATTTCATCAAGGAGCTCCAGATAAATAGCAGAGACACTGGATCATATGTGGCAGCAATGTTCTAAGTATGGATGAATGGTAGACTTATAGATATGCAAGATAGGCAAGACGGTTTTTCTCTCTCAAATGTAACACAGTGGACCAACTTTCCTAGCAGCTGAACTAGCAATGGGTTCAATATAATCTTTCCACTTCACATTAGCTGAGAACATTAGCATTGGAAGTTGTAATGAGTCACTTTTCTAGAGGATAGCATTAGCCATACTAATGGAAACCTGTTGTCCTTGGCCAAAAACTGCTACACCATCTGTGCAGAATGGGCAGCTGTGTTGTCATTTTTGAATTGCCACTTACCAGGAACATACCATTCAAGTCCTTTTCTGATGAATGGCATTCTGTAAACAGTGCAACACATTACGCTAATATTCCTTGTTTACTATTTGATCAAGTGAAGCATACTCTTGATAAACAATGCCATTGTAGTCAAAGAAAACAACTGTCAACAATGTCTTCACATTGCTTTGAATGTTTTCTTCTTTAGTGTTTTAAAGATCATAATTCTCAAGTTAAACTAGATATAAATTATTTTCTTTTTAATGGAAATATTGCAACTAATTTTTTTTTTTTTTTTTTTTTTTTTTAAGGGATTTGAAGATTGTCTCATTTTAGAAAAATTCTTAAATGAATGTAATGATAATTTTGGTAAGTTGTATACAATTTTATTTCCTTCACTCACAGCAGAACATGAAAATAATAATAATAATAATAATAATGTTAGTTGGATCATCTGAGACCAAAGTCAATGAAAAAATAATTTTGTCCCTACTTCAATGTGATATTCCAATTTCAGAACATTAAAAATTAACTTTAAATTTTCAAATTATCTAAACATATTTTTATTTTAAAGTACTCTGTTTTTTTTCACTTTTTTTTCCTTATTTGTGCTCTAAAAATACAAATTTATATTGAAAAATGCATTTCTTATATTTTTAAGAAAGAAATCACATTGTATTCTTTTCTTCTCTTACTTGATTCAACTTTTATTCCTCATTTAATATAAATATTAACACAGATTAAATTACTAAAAATTATGTTTCCATTCAAGTTTTCAAAATAATTTCTGCTGATGATGTTAGTTTATAAGATGAAAGCTTTTAGCAAGCAAACAATTTTGATTAGAATTCAAATTAATAGCAACTTATTTTTATGCCGAGCAATAAGTTTCTTGTTATTTTTTTTAAGTAAGCAATATTAATTAATCCCCACAGAAAACATAATTAAAATTGACAGTGAAAGATTTTAAATCTTGACACAATTTATTTCCATCTGCAGATGAGGCACTAACAAAATATTCTCAATTCCGTCATGTTGATGCCATTTCAATTTGTGACTTGGCAATGTATAATTATGTTGAGGTGAGTCAGTTTATTTTTTTTGATTTACAATAAAAGAATTTTGTAAAAGATGTATGCAGTTTTATATATAAATTCTTATAATTATATAATAATATTTCAACTTGTAGTTATTCTTTATATGATTTATCAATTGATGAGAATATTAAACCTCACAATTTTAGACAATACACCCCCCCACCCAACTATCCAAATTCCATACTTGAACCTTGTTAGATGCTTGCATCATTAAGAGGATAACAAAAGAAAAAAATCCCTTATTTCTAAATGTAAAAAAAAATTTTCTTTCATTTATTTGAAGTTTTGTCGCTGTTCTGCTAGTATATTTCTTATTTGTAGGTAATTTAATTTCAATAATATTTTTTTTTTTTAGATGAGGTCTTTGGTTAATTCCAAATTGTTTTTGCTGAGAAAATCTCTGGATAACCTTTTAAACAAAATCTTTCCAAGCTCATGGATCCCCCTTTACACTATGGTGAGTCGCTGTCATTGTTGTATAACTTTATTCAAGCATGTGTGTGTATGTGTGTGTGCTGAAAAAAAAAAAATTAAAGTTTTTATTTCTACCTTGAAATTTTTTTTTTTTACCTAAGCACACAATAGCAAAGTTAATGCATCAGAAAAGTTTATTTTTTATTCATTTTATTTCTTCTAAAACAGGTGAGCTTTTCTCAGATTCGCTACCATGAATGTGTTGAAAATAAAAAATGGCAAGATCAGGTAAGTCAATGTGGCTAACAAATTCTTTGATTTTTTTTTTTTCCTACTCAGAGATTGATACTTTTGCATAGATACACACAGATCCATTGTTAAAATATTCATTTATATATTTATGAAAAAAAAAAAAAAAATTCAGAAAATTCTGGCAGGTGAGTTGGGAATAATGCAGGGTATCGCCACCAAAATATTGACATAATTTAAAATATGAATATCCAAGTAACTACATGTCCCAGGCAAACAAAATTAAATAGGCTTCATGTTGAACAATAAAAGATTTATTTGTCAAAATTCAAACAAAATATTAAAAGGGATGTAGATTTTAGAACCGATTTCAGAAAGCTTCACAAATATTCAATATGCGCACCACTTTGTGACATGACATAACATGTCAAGTCAATAGTCTAGCTCCTGCCAAACATGCTGTAGCATGTCTTGTGTAACATTCTCCAGTGCCTCAGTGTGGATTTATCTCAATGAGAATCTACCAGGAAGATGGATCATGTGTGCCAGTAATAATGACAACGTACTGTTGAAATAGGCATCATGTCCACCTGACTTGATACCTTGTAATTTTTTTCTGTGAGGCTATGTGAAAGGACAGGTCTATATCCCCCACTCTTCCTACAAGCCTAGAGAAACTTAAACAGAGAATCACTGAGGCACTGGAGAATGTTACGCAAGATATAGTAAAGCGTGTTTGGCAGGAGGTGGCCTACCAACTTGATGGGTGTCATGCTATAGGTGGTGTGCATATTAAACATTTGTGAAGCTTTCTGAAATCAGTTCTAAAATCTACATCCGTTTTAATATTTTGTTTTAATTTTGACAAATCTTTTATTGTTCAACATGAAGCCTATTTAAGTTTGTTTGCCTGGGACATGTAGGTTCTGAGATAGTCACATTTTAGATGATGTCAATTTTTTAGCGGGGACACCCCGGTATAATAATAAGCATAACTCGATTCTCATAATTTCACTGGCTGACAGACAGACAGACAGACAGAACAGGACTGCTTTATATATAGAGGGTCTATACTTCTTAACCACTTCCCTGGTGTAAACGTCTATATATGTTTTTACTGAAAGTTCATGTTCAAAATGTGTATTATATATTGATCTTGATGCTTTTTATGGCTTTCTGAGCTTGAAACAAGTCCAGTTATCAACTCATACGTCTGATAGAGGTGTTAGTCACTGCTTGGGTACTTAAGTTGTCTGAGCTTCTTAGTGTTCCCCAACAAATGAAACATTTTCCTAAAATAATTGGCAGGGAAGGGGTGAATAGTTTGAAAAAAACCAAAAAAAAACCCTTAGAATATGTTGATGCTTTATTCTGTATATTAGTAAATTAAAATTGAATAATGTTTCTCTTTAGAAATCGCAATATCTGATGTGGTTAATTTATCTTTCATTTTATTTCACTTGCTTTTTGTTGCAACTTTTAAACTGATCCAATCTTTTATTCTATAACAATCATAGAATAACAATGATTATTGCATCAGAAATAGAATGAATAATAATGACAAATTTCCATCAAAGATTGTTGTGGGCGATATTTTCTAATTATATGAATAATTATCTTTTTATTCCCCTGCAGCTGTTGAAGAGAATCTCCAAAATAATTACCGCTTTGTCAGTAAGCAGCCTTGGCTTTTTGTTATGGATTCAGCGAATGAACATAATCTCTCTGCTTCAAGAGTATGGCCTCATGTGAAGTAAGTCAGTCTATTGAAATCTCAAGTTTCATTTCACGAACAATAGGGTTTTTTAAATTTCATTAGGTTTTATGAAACGACAAGGTTTGTTTTAATGAGGTTTTATTTTCTATACAAGATAAATGTTTGGTTTCAGATATTATTACAGCCATATCACATTGAAACACCAGTTCCTGTACAATCACTGAAGTTAAGCAATGTTGAGCCTGGTCAATACCTACATGGGTGATCGCTTGGGAATACCAGGTGTGGTAAATTTGAATGTGCAGGTGGTGTAATGGATAATAGCTTGAAATTGATAATCAGAGAGCCAAGTTCAAATTGGATTTGTTATATGCGCAAATACACAAGAGAAAAGTATGCATCCACCCCTTCTCCCTCAGCTATGGGTTAATTAGTAAGACTTGTATCACTAAATCATTGTTATCTCTGTAAGAATTTTTTTTTAATCTAAAAATGTTCTGGCTTTGAATAACCTGTAATGTGTTGATAAGTTGTAAAAAAACAAAATTAATTAATCATATGTTTGCTTCCAGTGTATATAAAAATGGTTCATACATACGTCCTGAAGAATTCAGTTATCATTTGTTATTTTACAGTATTGAAAATTTGGATGTATTTATTTTTTCATCCTGGTATTTTCATGATTATTAGTTTAATCCATATAGCAATGACATTTACAATATTCTGTCCACTGAGTTTGTGTGTTTATTAATTGTTGAATATCTTTAAATAACATATTTTTAAACCTAGCAACTGGTCTGTACATTTTTGGTTTTTATGCTTGTGGCATCAAAAATATTTGAATTTCAAATCATAACATCTCGATTCATGTTCTTGAAAAATGGCCAATAAGGGTTGAAAGTGATAAAACATATACACAATGATGTTTGGTTCTCGTGTGGATACATTATCTTGTATGAAAAGAGAAACTATTATGAAAAAGGTGTTAAAACAAACTTGATGGGTAGTCTTCTTTAAAATATGTTTACAGACTAGAGAAAAGTCAAAAGATTTGTTACTTGCCTTTTTCTATCACCAAAGTTTTTTTACAATTTATTGATTTTTAATATTAGGTTGCAGTTTTTACACTGGATGCTTTTACTCTTTCATGAAGAAAAAAACAAAGTCCTCTGTTTTTTTTTTCTTCTAAAATTTTTTTTTTTTTTTTTTTTTGAAGATATAAATATTAAACTTTTTTTAAGTGTTGCACTCTTAAGTTTATAATTAAAACCTTTTTTCTATGATTACAATTTCTCTTTTCTAAACTTTCATATTGACTTACCATTTTAAATTTAGAGTCATGTCAAAAACCACACACACAAAATGGATCAGTATAATCAACAGGCTCTCAGTGGGAAAAACCCACAAAAATTAAATCTAAAATAACACTAAAAATTTGCAGATGTATTAGAAAATAAATTTTATATCAACTGTTGTTTAAAAAAAAAAAAAAAGCAATGGCAACTCGTCTTCACAAATTTTTACCAGGTGACACTCTTTATGCAAAAAAGATAATTGTGATACTGGTTTCAGCCAAGTGTTTCTTCATATTGAGGAACAGATGATAGGAGAATACATTATTTACATTATTCGGACTATTGTTCTCATCTTTGTCGCCATATTTAGGATAGTGAGGGTGATCAACCAGTTGAAAGTCACAGTCACACACAGCAGCCATTGAAATCAAGGACTTGTGTTCTGGAACATTGCCCTGATGAAACAAAATCCCTTTTGTCAGTTTTACTGGGCATTTGATCTTGATTGCCAACTTGCTGAGGCAGTTATGAAAGGCTTACTCCTCTCCATTGATGGTGTGCCCTTTTAAAGACAGTCAATAGACACAATGCCTTCTGTATTCCAAAATATTGAGACCATCACCTACCCTGCAGGTGAGAAGGGATGTTTCCACTGCATAGATTGTCACTGGCTTAAAGTGATGAACCCAACACTCATCCTGGGTTAGGAAAGCACAGGATATGCTAATAGCATTGGCTATTTGATTTATAGTCAACTGCCTGTTATCCATTACCCAACATGATCAATGTTTTTCTTGGTAGCAGCAGTTGCAGGACATCCAGACATTGGGTGATCTCCAAGACTCTCCCTTCCCCTCCTAAATTCAGCTACCCACTTTTACACTGATGCTAAAGCTGGTGCATCATTATCATCATCTACTGTAGCAGTATGCCTTTGCGGGCTAAACAGATTGATGCCAAATTTTGTCCATTTTCAAGAGAAGTTGCTACTAGTTACTGTAAGAGTCAGATGTCAGTTTCTGGAAAGAAACAATGCAGTTATTAATAAGAAGAGTTGAAATTAATGCATGCAAGATTTCACAGCTCTATCATCATTCTTTCTTAGTCAGCCTAAGAACTTTTCAGTCCCACCCTCATACTGGAAGTTTATTTGCTATATTAATTGTAAGTATTTACATTGAACGGACATTTGTCCTCATCTTTATTGTCATATCCATGATGTTTGGATTGTTGTACATTCTGGTCTTCATCAGGTGATATACATTGGAATTTTGAACCAAACCCTTTATTTCAGCCCCAGGCAAAGATTGTTCTAGTTCCACATGCCACATCTTTTCTAAATATTTCGGTTTCAGTTATTTCTCTTTAGTAACTCAACTCTCCAAATTTTTGTTCACCTCTGCTGTGGCCAGGTATTGAACTCTCAACTCTTTGGGTCAAGTCACTGGATTACTTCAACCAACGCTTTTATTCACTGGGCCAGTGGATAAAAGCATTGGTTGAACTAGAACAATCTACCTCAGTGAATGAAATAAAGGGTTTGGTTTGAAATTCCAACATATATCACCTGAAGAAGGCCAATGCGTAAGATGGCCGAAATGTTGTGAATACGACAATAAAGGTGAGGACAACAGGAAACTAGAACAATCTACCTCAATGGACTAAATAAAGGGTTCAGTTTGATATTCCAACGTATGTCATCTGAAGAAGACCGGTGTGTACAACAGCCAAAACATTGGGAATATGACAATAGAGATGAGGACAATAATCCAAATGATGTAAATAGTTATGATACCTCATCTCAGAAATATAGACAGATCCTGAAGAAGCATGAAGTATACAATGACCAAAACATTGTGAATATGACAATAAATATGGACAGATCCTGAAGAAGCATGAAGTATACAATGGCCAAAACGTTGTGAATACGACAATTAAGATGAGGACAATAGTCCAAACGATGTAAATAGTTATACCTCATCTCAGAAATATAGACAGATGTTAATTGTAATTATTACTAAAACCTTTATCGAATTTTTGTCTTTGAACAAATGCCAATTATCAAACCTGAATTTTTTTTTTTTTTTAGAAAAAAGTAATCAGAAAATTTTATTTTAAAATCATCCAAAACTTCTTACTTCCAAGTAACTTCTTGTCTCTGTAGGAAACAAATCAATTTGTTTTTCTCTAAAAGAAAAATAAGCCCCTATTTTTCATTATTTCCTTACATTAACGCACTTTATGAACATTTTTTTTTTTTTTTTTTTTTTTTTTTTGAAACTTTGTCACATTTTACTTGCTTAAAACATACTTGAATTTATTGAAACGTTTTATTTATTTTCAGGATAAACTTGAGGAATTATGAAAAATAATTGCTAAGGAAATCCTGACATTAAAAGATTGAGTTGCCTCAAAGTTTGATACTCGAAATATTGTCAATCATATGGACTACAATTAATAATAATAATAATAATCATCATCACCAAAATAAACATCAAAGGTGTTGTCAAGATTTGTAATGACTATATCATGGAACAAACATTGTTTTTTTTTTATGTTTTGTTTTTTTACTGAAAGTCAAAATGAAACAAAAACAAATAAATATATATAAAAAATTTTTTCTTGTCAATTGTTTTTCTATAATATTTATATTTCTATAATATTTGCAAGTTCAAAATAAAAAATAAATCTTTGTCTATTTAATGGGATTTTTTTTTTTTTTAATTTTAAAAAGACATTGAGTCCAACAGTTTTGACTTTGTTCTTTTTGTTGCTGTTACATTATTTTGGCTGATCTGTTGTATGAATGGGGAGAAAGAAGAGATTTGTAAATTAAATCTAAAAATGATGGCAAATATTCTGATAAAGCTTTCATATTTTACATGCAGACTTGCTTTTATGTATTTATACAGTGTGGGGTTGACAACCTAAAGAAAAATTCCACATGAATTTTTCAGTTGAAAAAGGCTGTAGAAATGGTGTAACAACAAAAAGAACAACATCTAGAATTGAAGTGCCATGTGAAATTTTATCTTCTCTCCTCACCCACTTTCCCCACCCACCCTAACTTCGTCAGTGTTTATAAATCCAGAAAAGAAGGTTTGCATCATTGTCTCTGCTGTTTAACTCCGAATTCTGCTTTTCGTTCCAGCACTGATAACCGTTCCCTCCGCTCACAATTATTATTGAATTACTGTTATTTTCCTCATGATTATTAAATGACATACTTGTCATCATATGGTAAGAAAAACTTGGTCTTGTTTTGCTTTTAACAGAACTTTTGTTGCTTAGGATTTCTGCATTTGATTTTCTTGATTTTGATTCAACTTTTAAATCTGAATTGCAAGTGTTGTTATTGTTGCCGTTCTGACTACCAGAAATGAACAGCGTTGATGATCTGGTTCCTAATGCATTGTTTTCTCTTAAAGGTCTTTTATATAGAGATTGGGTCCGAGACAATGAATGTTCTGTGCTACGCATCAAACTACCATACAAAGATTGCATGTCATCGTCATCTTCAATATCCAACAAATTGGGTGCCGAACGGTAACGTTGGGTTAGCTTCTCTTTCAGTTCTTTCTGGAATTGGTCTGAGAATGGTTCATCTGATGAAGAAACCTCAGATGTTTTATTAACACTGGGACATTTGTTTTCAGGGGACTCTGATCCTCTTTCTGTTGAAGGTGAGTGAGTTAGTGTTGATTCGACTTTCAAGAATACATCTTGCTGGTCATCAAAAGATTCCTGTTGCATTGAGGTCAAATGTGATTGGCTTTTTGTTTGAAAAGCACTTGTAAAAGGTAACAAGAATTTTATGGCTCCTTTGTGTCCATGGTAAGCAACATATGGTCTGCCACTGACAATAGGCACCCCATCACGTAACCGGGGCAATGGGAAGGAAAGGAGCAGACCAACATTTGTCCCAATCCAAAGCATGCCCCGACTTGCAAGAAGACAACTCACTGTGCATTCTTTTACAGAGTCTGCAAGAAAAAAAAAAAAATTTCTAAAGTAATTACCAAAAAAAAAAAAGAGTTCTAACAGAATATGCATAATTCTCAAAAGGTGAAAATAAATGAGTTTAAGTAACATTCTGCAGAAATATGAAAGAGACTTACCAGTTTGACTCACTCTTGTACCTGCTGAAGAGATATTAATCTCTTGCAGGAGATCCAAAGTTTCAATATGATACAAATGGATAATGGAACTATCCTTGTAAGACACCCAAAGTCCAACTCCTGTGGGGACAATATGCTCCACCTCACCAGAACCTGACAGCTTATGAGAACTCTACAAAATAGAAATATGAAAATCTTGGATCAGCATATTGACTGACAAGTTAACTCGTGATTGGCAGTTTTCATTATGATGCCAACAAGTTCTCATGTTTGGAATTTTCTGATAGATTTTCATCTGCGGGTGCCAACAACGAGTTTGTTTTCGCACTAAAAGTAAATAATGTTAAGACCTCAGTTGAAGCTATAAATCAAATTATAATATTTTTCTATTGCTTAGGTTGGCTATTATGAAATCTGACTTCAAACGCCAACTTAACAAGTGGCAGTCACTGTGTTAAACATCTGATTATATGTTGAATTCATAGTATATAGTCTGCTTAAAAAAATTTTTAAAAGAATTATAATATGCAATGTAATTAAAATAAAATTCAAAAGAGAGAAATAATAATAATTATGTGGCTTAGAAAATTTAAAAAGGGGTGAGGAGTAGTTAATAAAATTTTAGACATTTTATAAAACAAATATTATTTACTAGTAGTACCAATGAAAATTTCATGGTCTTGCTATTTGAAATTTCTGATGAATCATAATTCCTAAGTTAATGAATAAATTAGCCTCTTGTGTATTCTGTAAAATACCGATGGAAATTCCCCTGTTGTCTCACTAAATATTTTAGCTGAACAACTTTAACAAAATGTTACAATGGCAATCATAAATATGAATGCAGATCACTGAAGAAGTAAGAGGGTAAAAATGAAAAAGATTTAAAATTGACAAGTTTTTTTCATTTAACTGAGGCAGATATTAAACACTAAAGCATTATCACCATACTATTTTTTCTTTCTTTTTCTTGCTGAAACTACTTTCCATCTTCTTAAGCAATCAAAGTGGAATAGTTCATTATTTATGAGGTAGTGGCAGGACGTAATGATCATGCTAAGGAAGAAGCAGAATTATAACAATTTGTAGAATATTTTTTTTATTACAATGATGTTCACCCTGTAAAAGGTCCAAGAGCCACTCGATATAAAGGGTTACAGAGTAAGAGGCTTAGGCACAGTTTATGGGGCTATGTGGGGAAGATAACTTATTCAGGTTTACAATCAACTGTTAAGATTGTAGTATCAGGGAAGCATCCACTTGGGAGTCGGTTCCACAAAGCAGTGGTTCATGGGAAGAATCTGCTCAAGTGAAACTTACATCTCACCAATGGGATACAAAGAGAATGAGGAATGGTTTGCTACAATGTCTGTGACATGGTGAGTCTTAAGTGTTAGAACTGATGGAACAAAGGAATGGTGTTTGTTTCTGAACACTTTCCATGGAAATAACGAGAGAGCCATGAAAGGTTTGTGACGGATTGAAGAGCACACTTAATAAAAAGTCATTTTTTTTAAAACCTTTGTGAAAAGAAAAAAAATTTTACTCTTCTTTCTGTTTTTTTCTTTTGTTTGAAATATTTTGGAGATTCTGATAGAAAATACTCTATTGTTGGTTTTTGCTTTTTGTCACATTTTTTAATTTATTTTTTAATCATTAGTTTTAACTTTAAATTCTTGCTGTTGAATTTTGCAATTTCCTGGCAATGGTAAAAGGACCTTATTTAGTCTCAGTGAATGGTTTATATAATAAAAATATTTGTGATACTGTCAGTGTTTTGGGAATATATACAAGATTAAATACTCTGTAGGTAACTATGAAGAAATATATAAATATTTACATTTTTAGTGAACATATATCTTCAATGTTTTTATTTTTTTCTGGCCAACATTTTTGCTATACATTATGCATAAAGACAGACAGTTTTCATTTTAAAATATTCACACTAAACATCGACTGTGGTAAAATAAAAATTTAAAAAAAAAAAATCAAAAACAAAATAATTATAGAGTCTAACTTACTTGCAATGAACTTGTGTTCTGATTAATGACGTAAATGGTATTGGAAGCAGTAGCCAATATACAACTATCAGAGGAAGACTCCAACAAACAAGTGACAGGCTTTGTATCCAGGTTGACAATCTGAGGGTTATTGGTATCCCAGATTCCTTCTTCATCTTCAAGAAAATTTCAGATATGATCACATTCAAGTTGAAACAAAAAAACAATGAATAAATTTTGCTTTTTAGAGTAGTTGTTTTAATCCTAAGAAAGAAAAGCTAAAATTATGAATACAGTATTTTCAGACTGCTCTCAATTAGCCATTATAGAGAACCATCCCTGCCTCCCATCAGGATGGCTGATGCCCAACTCCACAAGAGTGCTTCTCTCTGCGTCTGCTTGGTCTCACACTGTCCACTGATTTGAAGTGAAACAACTACATTGAATCTATAGCTTCATCTACTGCAAGGAAAGTTGGTTTTCTGTGTCACACCAGAAGGTTTTTCTCACCTGAGTCCATCCTTCAAATCTACAAATCAATAATTTGTCCTTGCATGGAATACTGCTGCCATATATGGTCTGGTGCTCTTGCTATACATCTCAACGTCCTCGACAGAATCCAGAGACGGATATGCAACATGGTTGGTCCTGATCTGTCATCCCGTTTGCAGTTGCCATCTCACAGCCATGCTGTAGCTTCCCTCTGCCTTTTCTACAAGTACTTTTGTGGCAACTGCCCTGACAAGCTACTTTCACTAGTTCTCAAATGGCATGAATTTAAGCATGCTACTAGGTTGGCACCTCAGTCCCACCCTTTCACTGTCAAAACAAATGCAGCCATCTTTTCTATTCCAACAGCTTCTTTTCTCACACCTCCTGTCAGTGGGACTCCCTTCCTATCACTTGCTTCCCTGATAGCTATAATCTTCAAGTGTAATGTCAATCAGCATCTTCTGATGTCTTGACCTTGATCCCTGTCCTTCTCTTTATCCTTTTCTCCAAACACTCTCTGTAATTCCTTGCATGTTAGTGGCATTTATATGATATTTTTCTAGGAGTGTTTTGTTGTAAAATATGGCAAGGGTCTGTCTATATTTCTGATATGAGGTATTATGTACACTATTTACATTATCTGGACTATTGTCCTCATCTTTGCCGCCATATTTATTACAATGTTTCGGCCATTGTACGTTCCAGCCTTCTTCAGGTGGTAGGAATGTCAAACTGAACCCTTTATTTCACTCACTGGGGTAGACTGTTCTAGTTTCGTTTGCCATATTTAATGGATGTCAGTTATCAGTTATCGCCTGTTAATTCCCCTCTCCAAGTTCTCCACTGCCTTAACCAGGTATTGAACTCACACTCTTTGGGTCCTGTCACTGGATCTAACTAACACCTTTATCCACTGTGCCTTGAGGACATCTGTGTATGATTTTCTGGGTATTATAAACATAATGTCTTCAGCAACTATTTTTTTACCAGAGTTCCTATTGCAATTTTTGTTGTTGTTATCGCCTTTCTCTGGCACTCCTTATTATTGGTTCCCATATTGTATTCATTTCTATGCTTAGTCGGCACATAACACTAGAACAGTCTACCCCAGTGAATGAAATAAAAGGTTCAGTTCGACATTCCAACCACCTGAAGAAGGCTGGAGTGTACAATGGCCGAAACGTTGTAATAAATATGGCGACAAAGATGAGGACAATAGTCCGAATAATGTAAATAGTGTATGGCAAGGGTGTATTGAAATGACTCTCTCAACTGCTACAGAGGTAATAGGTAGAGAAGGAAATAAGATGGGTGGCTGGTTTTCTGGTTACTTTTACCTGTATCTAGACATGCCAAGCTGTTCCACTGCTAATGCGGAAAACGGATGTAACGAATGTCGACAGACATGTCCACATGTGACTCTGGGAATCTTCTGTACAGATGCGCAATCGCTACATGCTTTACTATATGAGTATATTTTTGTATATTTTATGGGCATGTGACATAGTGGTTAGAACTTTAGCATTCCAACCATGGGACCCAGATTCAAGTTTCACCATAATCTGTTAAGGAGTTAACTTTCTGATAATATCAGTCTGAGGAGACAATTCCAGTGCACAGCAACATATTGAGTAAATGAAACTGTTCAGAAGTTGTTCATGGTTGTGTTTGCATGAAGTCATAAGTCATCATGACTGAGGGTTTGAGCGTACTGGCCTTGTTCAAATGTTGATTACACTGGATAATATACATATTTCCAGAACATATAGCTATGCTTAGCTCAGCATAATTGTAGGATAAATCACAGGCTGGCTGTGTTGATATTGAAGAAACACATGTGCCTGAGCAGGCGTCTACAACAGGGATTTACTAACCACTTGAGCAGGAAGAACACAGAAAGGAACAACCAGCCAGTATACAGTGTATGCATGTATACATGTACAGTAATAATAATCATACAAGTAAAAAAAAAAAAAAGTATGTGAAAGTTGTAAGAATTTATATATTATTCAGGTTGGGAAAATTTCTGCCAGAAAGTGCTCTGTTATAATATTCAATAAATCAATGTTCAAATGACCAACTCAAGAATTTTTACATCAAGAAATCATCACACTTCATGCATCAAGCAACCTTTAGACTGAAGTTGACAGTCATCATGCAGTGTTGATTCCTATGTCTACATCTATGAACATTATCTCAAATACTGAGCATACCTCTGTAAGTATAGCAAATTTTGAAAAACAATTATATACATACGCACACACGCACACACACAGTTCCCTGCCCAACACTCTCAATATATAGGAGCTCTTAACATCAGATTGAATGTAAATGTTATTGTCAACAGGTTTTGAATTGTGCCATATGTAAGAACAAATCTGTTTTTTACAGGTATAATAAAGTATAGAATATCAATCAGGAAAACAGGTGACAAATAAATATTGGTTTTTCAGCAGAGAAATAGAACTTTCAAAAGCCTTTCTTGTTTGAAGACTTATAGCAGAGCTTATAAGTGAGCAGTAGCAAAAGCAAAGTTATCGTACTGCAGAGATGGTCATCCTTATAATCAAGTGGATAGCCACCATACATATGCTCTGTGTATGAAAATGAAATCTTGGCTAGAATGGAAAATTTAGCAAAGAACAAGTTGTATGCTACATTTTTTCTGGTTAAATAGAAAAATGCATCAACACTGAAAAATAAAAATCCAATTTCAATAAATAAGAAAGTCACCTTGCTGTCTCTCAAAAATAAGAACTGAGCCTGAATCCAAAGCTGCAAATAATTTTTCCCTTGTGTATCTTAGACACAGTGCCATGGCTGGAAGGGGGAACACTTTGAGAGCTTCTCTTTGGCTACCTTTCGGGTTGCAGAGTTTGTAGATGTATATCCTTAAAAAAAAGATAACAAAAAATATTCCATTGATGACAAATGGTAGAAATATTTATAACAATTTGACATTTAATCAAGTTATTAATTTTTTTTTTAATTTGTTATAAAGTTAATTTCTGAAGAATAGCTGAGAATTTGAACAAGAAACTGTGAGATTAAATTATGAAATCATGTTTCTTCCTTAATAGCTTCTGTTAAAATTACTGCAATGATGAATTATCCTCATTTACATTATTTATATGTGGCCTATTGTCCCCATCTTTGTTGTTATTGTTATCACAATGTTTCAGATATTCTGCTCCCCAGCCTTCATCAGGTGCATTTTGATCTGGGTAACCTTCAGTAATATTGGCGAATCCAGCTCAAAGAGATTATGAGGATGAAAAAAAGGTTTATTAAAACTGCTATCATTGGTCCAAAAAGCCTTCCCCTTACCAACTCCTTACATATCTATTCATCCCAATGTGATGATGTGCCGGACATGAGACAGAACCTGGGACAAGCACAACTGGTCGCGACTTGCCTTGTCCCCGCCAAAAAAGAGCCCGTATTTGCTTAGCATGTAAAGCTACTGCAGTTGAAATGAGGGAGAGAAAAAAAGCACTTACCGCTCTGACGTAATCCATCCTCGGCCAGATAATGTAAAAGAATGAGGGGGACTGGCATCGCATTTTTATCCAATAATGATGCAATGCATTATGGGACATGGACGCAATGCATTATGGGACATGGACACAATGAATTATGGGATCACAGGAAGACGCAAGGGATTATGGGTACATGAACAACTATAAAACAACTACTTTTTTTCCAAGTCGGCGAGTTCTTGAGGGACGTTCATGGTTGACGGCTAGAATGGGCAGTTAGTGTGATTTGGAGACAGAACTCAGGAAGGAACGACTCAAGTTTGAAATACCAGCTGGGAGAGCTTGAATTTACTCTCTGGTTACTGTTTTCTTCATTCGCCTCAGATGACTAGCAATATGAATGCATGGCACAGAAACTACACAATAGAGAAGTACGTCACCCAATAAGGGAAGACCAGAAAGAACTCCTTCACAATCCTAAGCATGACTGTTAATATAGACCAGCATATGGATATAACCTATTTTTGGTTTTGTTCCCCACTTGATCTCTGAAAATCCTACATCCATTCTCTTACTTTTCAGCCAAAGTAGATGCCACTTAGAAAAATTAACTTCAAAAGGAACCATCTGCTGGCTATCAAAAAAAAAATAAAATAAAACCTCTACTATCTGTCTATATTTCTGAGATGAGGTATTATGTACACTATTTATATTATTCGAACTATTGTCCACATCTTTGTCACCATAATTATTACAATGTTTTTTCAGGTGGTTAGAATGTTGAACTGAACCCTTTATTTTGCTCACTGGGGAAGGCTGTTCTAGTTCCACATGCCATGTTTAATGGATATCAGGTCATTTCATTCTTCTCTCTTGTCAATTATCTCCTGTTAATTCCCCTCTCCAAGTTCTCCACTGCCTTAATCAGATATTGAACTCACTCTCTTTGGGTCCTGTCACTGGATCTAACTAACACCTTTATCCACTGTGCCATGTGTGCTTGAGGACATCTGTGTATGAATATATGAGCACTGGTAAAAAATGGTTGCTGAAGACATTAGGTTTATAATACCCAGAAATTCATACATAGATGTCCTCAAATGTACTGAATGTGATATAAATAATCATTGAAATATCAGGTCATTTCATTCTTCTCTCTTGGTATGTTGCTTGCTTACAATTATCATTCCTAGCCTGGCATCTTGACTTCATTACTTTGTCACTATCATAACATAGCTTCTTTTTCTAAAAATATTTTCTTGCCAACTGTTTTGATGAGATTTGCTTTTCAGTACCTCAACACATCTAGTCTAGTACTTATTTGTATTTAGAAAATCTTGAAAAAAATAGATAGAAGAATCTGCAATGTTATTGGTCCTGACCTGACAACTCATTTTCAATTACTTTTCCACTATCATAATGTAGATTCCCTGTACCTTTTCTATAAATATTTTCATGACAATTGTCCTGATGAGCTTTCCTTTATGGTATCTCGACTTCATGAATTTAAGTGTGGTACTAGATTGGCAGGTAGGTTGGCATTTTACTGTTGACGTCACTAGATGTAACCATAATTTTTATTTGAAAAGTTTCTTCTCTTGCACTTCCCACTTGTGGAGATCTCTTCCAAATCCTTACTTTCTTGTCAACTACAATTTACAAAATTTTTAATGCAATGTCAGTCAACCTCTTCTGTCTCCTTGAATCCTCTTCTGTTATTGTCCCTTCACCTTAATTTCCTCAATTCTCAGTAACTCCTTGTGTCTTGGTGGCTTTATCACCTTACTTGGGCTGAAATGATTTAAAAAAAAATCCTTTTCAAAAGTCTTTTATCTTATTATTAATTTTTATAAAGAAAAAAAAACTTACTGTTTGTCAACCGTTGCCATCCAGACAGTGTCTACAGATGAGAAAGTGGTGCCCATACCAGTCCCAGGAATTTTCTCAACACATGTAATTTCTCTGCTAGTGGCTGGGAAAGATTCTGTTAGTGTCAGAATGTTCTGACTTGTCTGCACAGAAATGATTGACACCTGACCCCCAATTGTTGGCACCGTGTTGCACACCCACACATGGGGCACACCCACATTACCAGAAGGTAGGTACACACCAACTGCACATTGCACCTGGAATCAAAAAAAAAATAGATAAAAATTTGGATGCTTTATCTAAAACGGTTTGAGTGTTTTCTTTTCATTTATTTTGGTTTGTTGTGTTTTACGGCATATCAACCTAAATGGATTATTTAATGCCAACAAAGTTTTTATTGCTGGTAATATTTTGTTTTGTCAAAAATCTATTTCTGGTAATAATTTTTTTCAAAAACGTATTGTTGGTAATATTTTTCTTTTCAAAAATGTATTGCTGGTGATAGTTTTTTTCTTCAAAGATTTATTACTGATAATTTTTTTTACAAAGTATTTCTGGTATTAAAACCCACTTTTACCCCAGTTTCAGGGATTAACTATTTGCCCATAGCTGGGACCCGAACAGGTGCTATGACCCCGGGTCAGGGTGGACCTGGGAACACCAGCAATTAAGAGGTGGTTCCACGCTCCTCAAAATCTGCTGATCAGAGGCCTTGCTGCTGGATGTAGTTTATCGTCTTACCCAGGATGCTCATTTATTTTGATTTATCTAAATGACTAATTTTTTATGAAGAAATGTTTTCTATATACCATATTGGTTGATGTTGGTCACTTGTCATAAGAATCATTGATCATATTTTCTGAAAAAAGTTTCAATTTGAGCAAGAAGAAAAACAATATTGGATCATTTTGAAGAAGGAAGAGGAAGTTTTAATATTTCAGTAAACTTTTTTTTTATCCTTCTTTTATTCAAGGCATTGGTAATTATGGTCCACCACAAATTCTTATTCCTTGTGACCTGAAGCAATTTTGACCTCCCTTATGATCTCCCTGTTCATGCTCTGGTATTAAAAAAAATTATGTATATGTATATATATATGTACACAAGCAAGACTACCTGGCTTTACCTGATAAAAAATAATCTAAAATCTAACAACACAGTCAAAAATATCTTCTTTTAACACATGAGTTCTGGGTGGAGTTTAAGTCTCAATAGGTGTTAAAAGGCATGGAGCTTTCCTGAGGGAACATCCATTCATTATGTTCCGTGTCCGATTGGCAATGGTGGAATGTAACTAGTTTGGTTCTTGAGGCATTCAATGTAAACATCCAAACCCCCATACCCCCACCCCACCCCACTGAGTTGGCAGTTACAATGCATGACTCAGGAGGGTCAAGATTTCTGAGTAGCAAGATCAATATTCCAGCTTTGAATTGTTGAATTGTTGCCTGTGGGGAGAAGCACCATGCAACTCAAAAACAACTGAGAAAATCATTTGGGTGAACAGTCTTCAAAGTGTCTGAAACTTCATCAATTGATTTGTACAATTGAAACTCCCCAGAAATCTGTTGTAAAAGTTTTCAGTTTATTTCTTAGACTGCATCATTCTTTGTAGTAAGTATAGCATACTCACAAAGTCATGGCTAGTTCTTGTGGGACAATTTTACATTGAAAACTTAATTTTGAAAGTTTTAGAATTTTTATTAGAACACATTTTACAGGGCCCAGGGCTGCATGTTTTACAATTAACATGGTAAATAAATTCTTTTTTTTTTTTTTTTTTTAGCTTTTTAAGTTTTTTTGTTTGGATAAAAAACTGACCTCCAATCACCTTTGAGGTCAATACCACTAATCTTAACATCATTTTTCTACATTCAAATTCTAATTTTCTTCCAAGAATATAATTGTATAATTGTAGACTTTAAGATCTGTATTATTGTCAAAATGATTCTATCTCTGGTGACCTCAAAAGGTGAATTTAATCTTTTCCGCCCTACCATTTGCAAGGCCCAAAAACAGTTTTGTAATCCATAGAAAATGCAATAGCTCAGCCCAATTGGCTAGAAATATAAGATAACCAAAAAAATCCTTACTGTTTTTTTACGTCATCACTGATATGCAAATGAGTGCATCACAAGCTGAAAAAGCAGTAGGGGGGTTGGGGGGGGTCATTGCTCTTGACCAATGCAGGCGTGTTGTACACACATAGTTATAGCTCAAGCAGTGGAAACAAACATGGTAGTGTCAAAACAGCCTGTTTGGGACTGTTTGCTTTATGACTTTAAGGTGGGATTGTCAACAGCACGTAGCCGAATATATTAAGTCTTTGGGGATAATGCTGTGAATGCACTGCCAGGCATTGGCTCCAGAAGTTCAGGTCAGGAGATCTGTCTTTCCATTTGTCATGAATTCTGCAGTGGCTGGCCAAAATTCCTGGATGACGAGGCCCTGATAGCTGCCATAGAGAAGAGCAACAGCCAAACTTGTGGTAATTTGCTGAATACTTCCAGATTTCTGATGAAACAGTCAGGCTTCACCTGCACTGGATAAGGAAGGCATACAAATCAAGCAAGTGGGTAACTCACACACTGTCAGAAGCCAACAAGCAATGAGTGACAGCCTGTTTCTCATTGCTGTTTTGGCTCCACAATGTAACCATATCTGATCGATTGCTCACCAGTGATGAAAAGTGGGTCCTGTATGACACTCCAAAGCATAATATGCATTGTCATCATAGGAACCCTCTGCCTCATACAACAAAACTAACTCTACACCCATGCAAGATGATGGTCTTTATTTGGTGGACTAGCTGACAAGTGGTATACTACAAGATGCAACCAATGGGCCAAACCACTACTACAGACCTATATTTGCAGCAGTTGGAATGTGTGCAATAGGCACTGAAGCAGAAGAAGCCAGGGTGAACTGTTCCTCCATAAAAAATACCAGGCCTTATGTGGTGTAGGTGACCAGGGATATCACATGGCAACTTAGCATAGAAACACTGTAACATCCACCTTATTCCCTGGACTTTGCACCAAAAAATTCCCATTTCTCCCATTCCCTGGACAACCACCTTCATGAGAAATCCTTCAGAAATGAGGTAGACTTGTGGTAGGCACTCATATACATCTTTGCATCCAAGACACTTGATTTTTACATCCAGAGCATCGTGCAGCTGGACGCCCATTGGCAAAAGTTTATGGATGCTGATGGGGATTATTTAGAGGTATGTCAAATTTACTGTATACCTTTTTTCTAATAAACCAAAAATGGCAAGGACATTTTTGGTTACCTTGTAGTATGCTTTACTCTTTGATATCATCTAAGGTCAATCTTGCATGACCGTTGTTATTAATTGAAATCTTGTTGTCCATACAACCAAAACTGGGTCCCTGCAACTTTCCATTTGGCTGTGATGTGCAAACATACAAACTGTTGTAGAGTAGGTATCATCCCTTCAGCAGACAACCAGATGACCTGGCTCATTGCCTTAAATTGTTAATAATTAAGGACTTCAACAGTTGATTAATAAGTTGATTAGTAAGTTGATACTAAGCTGAGTAATATTTGGACTGATCTTCATTTGGCTATACAACATTTGACACCCCTTTTATTCCTTGTAAGTTATCTTGTTAATTGTTTTGTAATTTATTGTTCTGTGTTTTTTATATGCATTTGTTAGCACCGGATACTGGTGAGGAATAAATATATTAAGTGCTCATTCTTCTCTGTGTATCATTCACCTTGATGATATAGCACAAACACACATACATTTTTGCATAGTAATATTTATATATCCACACACATGTATGATGTCTCAAAAGTCCTATCATGACATCTAATGCCGTCTGTCTGTTCAAGACTCTTCTTGATGTCTAATGCCATCTATCCATCCAAGGACTGTCCTGACATCTAATGCCGTCTGTCTGTTTAAGTCTAGTCATGATGTACAATGCTGTCTGTCAAAGTCCCATCCTGACATCTAATAGTCTTTCTACCCAAGTCCCATTATGAATGTAAGTCCTGTCATAACAGCTAATTAAGCTACAAGACAAAAAGCAAAATAGAAATCTTTGCAATGAGAATTAAAAAAAAAAAATCTTATTTTCTGAAAGATCTTTCTGAATGACTGTAGAATGTAAATTTAAAGAACTTTAGCATTCAAGAAAGATGGCCAATAATTTAAATAATCAAAATCCTAGAAATAAATATACCATAATTTGTTTTCACTTGTATGAACAAATCTCAACACATATATATTCATATAGACACAGGCACACACACACACAAATTTCTCAAAATTGTCCATTCGCAATATACACACATGACCTCTTTAAGTGACCAACATCTCCTTTCACATGAAAGGAATGACTTACCTGACTGCTGTCAGAGGAGACATCAATGGGAAGAGAGCTCACAAAATAAGCAGGTAAATTTTCCGTCTGTCGATCAGGAATGTTCCAACCTTGTTGGTTCTGGGGACCTGAACAAGTTTCAATGAAATAGGGAAATAAATTTATTCTATAAGAAAATGAAGGTTTCTAACCTTTTTTTAAAAATTTTTAACACCATGTACCTTTAGGACATAGGAGATCATAGCCCTCCACACATTCCTTCTTTTTATTATGCATGCTTTCTTGGGAAAAATATTGGAGTGGTTTTCACAGTTACCTTCTCCATGGTTTGAAATGCAGAATCTTCTTTCACTTAGACTTGGTTGCCACTCAAGACTAGGGAGCTTAGTCTACTTTGCTATTTTACTGATGGGATGAAAGGATGGATTCATACCTTTCTCAAAGGCATTTGTGCAAAGTGAACAGACTTGTCTGAAACTTGAACTCAGCTCACCAATTTTGCTTTCCACTTTTCTAACAGTACAGTACATCCTGGATTACGTTAGTAGTATTTTAAAAAAAAGAAATTTATTGATTCCTTTATAATCTGAACTTGATACTATGAAATCTGGAGCCAACAAAGCCAGTTAACATGAAAACTAAATTGAATGATCAAGAAAACAAAGGAGAAAAAATTTACCTATTATCATTTGTAACTATCTTAAAAACTGCCCTCCATGCTGACTTTTAAGCTAACTCCCACAGTGGAGTAATTGGACCACCAGCCCAAAACTAAAGGGATCTCTGGTCCACCATAGAAAACAGCAATGATAATTTTCAAGAAATAACTGAATTCCTCAATTCATTCCATGCAACTTCAAAACCTCACTTTAGCTCCTGATTCAGGCTAGAAGACCAATTCTGGCCAAATGACTGATTTGGACTCAAACTTCAATTTGAGCTGAAAATTCCAATTTAGGCCAAAAATCGAGTTCTTCAAATCACAAACTTAACAGAAATTCAAAACCTTTCACTTTAACTCTGATTCCTTGGCAATTTGAAGAAATAAAATTGATTTCTTTTGCAGATATTTTACACTGAATTTAAAACAAAATTCTTTAAATTCTCAAAGTTTTTGTGTTAATTTAACCTCAATATAAATGAAAAAACTTTTAAAATCAATAATTTTTTTCAATTATTTTAAAATTTGAATTTTTAATGTGTTCCCTCCTCATCCGGACACAAATTCCAATGCTGGATGTTCAAGGACCAAATGAAGGGCAGATTTTAAATCCTGGGATCATCCTGATTCCAAAAAGGTATTATATGTCTATGTAAAGCAAATGTGACCTGAATTAGAGGGGGGATTCAGACACACAGACGGAGTTTGCTGTTTATTTAGAAAATAAAAGAAATAATTTATAATAATTAACACTTATTTTTTCCTTTTGTTGATTAAAAATGATGAGTACAAATTAAGAGAATTCTTTTTTTCTTGAGGAAAATATTATAGAAGCTGAAAAATCAGTGATTCTGTCAGGTTAAACACACCTAAACAGATTCTAAATTTACTTTTCAAATTAGAAAAAGTGTAACCCATATTTGTTGAAGGCAAAATATAAAAAAGGTCCCATTTGTCTAGATTGTTTTATACTAATGCAGATGTCCCCCAGGGCTCCACCCTTCATCCTACTTTGTTTTTAATTTAATATATAAAATATTCTAAGCTCTACCGACAAAGTAGTTATTCACTCAGGATTCTGCAAAAATCACTGTGCTGTTTAAGAAGATGTATTTCCCACGATTCTTACAGATTTAGAAATGGTATACGTACTTAGTGCCAATTTTGCAATTTGAAAATCCAGACACCAATTCTGTTTGGCTGATGGAGACGAAGCTTGTAAAAGCACACTGACCTTTCCAGACCTGAAAGTAAATAAATGAATGCTGACATGGAAGCAACAATAGAAAATAAAAAAGCAGTAAAAAATGAACAAAAAAGCAACTAAATGAATCTGTTGGATATTCTATCAACAAAGTCTTTATGTTGCACAATGATAATGCCCAAAATAAGAACGTCAAAAAATGACACGGCCTAAAAAGAAAAATTTTTATTGATGGTGAACCATACATAATAGAATAATTTTTATTCTATTTACTTTGAGATCATTTGTTTAATATTTATAGAATCTATATCTATAAAAAAAGTGCTGATTGTCTGTCTGTCATGTAATGGCTACATGTAACTATACATACATGTATATAATGCAAAGGCATATGCCTCTGTCTGCAATGTGCAGGAGTGACTTACATGTGCTTGTGACATTTTATGTACACATAAATACACATATACAGACAATTTGACTGAATTTGAGATAAGACATTGGGATAATACATTTCCCTCCCACTCAGTCTGAACCACCCCTATCCTGAACTGACAGTAATACAGTTAAGTATTTTAAGCCCTAAAAATCATATAATTGTAAGATTTTATTAAACTTAGAAATTATTTAGTAATAAACAGAATTATTTTTAAACCTTTTTTTTTTTTAAATTTTGTAGAAATACTTTTAGGTCTGTTATTATTGAATTAAGATATACATGCACATACAAAACAGAAATGAAACTGACATGGACATCTGTTTTTCAAGAACTAATTTCCCTTTCTGGCAGCAATCCCTGGATAACAGGAAATGAGTATAAGCAGAAATTTCTGGCTTTTAGATGTCATCTTTATGACTACTTCTGTATTTAAATTGAAATATTTTCTAATAAATGTTCTACAGATTGCCCAGTAAAAATTTATTATCACTGTTTTATCTTTCAGGAATAATTGGCTTTGAATAAATTTCTTGAATATTCATGACCTTGAATAATCATTTGGCTCTCACTTAATTACTTAACTCTGATTGGTTCTTTTATGATTGATTAATTGCTGTTTGATCTTGTGACTCGTCATTTCATGGTTATTTGCAGACAACTTTCGTCTTTCATTCTGCTCTTCTCGTATGGTTAAACGACTCACTGATTTTGAGTGTCAAGTTATTGTACTTTTCAAAGAAGAATATCTGATGTGGGGATTGACGAAATGTGCAGAAATTCTTCCTGAATTTTTCAGTCACATTAGTCATCACCAGTTTTCAATGGTTGCCTGACACGTCTTTTTGAATTTACTGCCTTTTTTACTGGGTACCCTGTATTTCAAATGCCCAAACAATTTAAATTTGGATCATCTTACCATCAGCAAAGCAAAACGAACTAGTATATATTAAAATCAGTTTGATTCTCTAAGTAAATGGCTCTTATTATTACAAGTAATGTAGTTTTCATGCCATATGAAAAACAATGAAAAATCCCTCCAAAATTATATAAATTTAAATATTCCAAACAATTGAAAATCTACAACAATACAGAATTAGCCGTGTTGGTGAATTCTCTCAATTTCTTTTGACATACTTGTCAGGTAGTAAAAGTTCAATTGAACAACCATCGACCAAATTGATTTGTTCATGTTTATCTTGGATTTTGCACTGAAGGTCTCGTTGCATCTCAGACAGAAGTTCTTCGGTCAGAATCTATAAAGAAAAAAAAATATTCATTTGCCAGACAAAGTCTGTTCATCATGAAATCACTTTGAATACAAAATAAAATGTATTTTAATAAAAAGGCATACAATTTGATTGCATAAAATCAATGGAAATAATTTGGGTAGCTCCAGTGCCAAATTTGGTAAACCAAATTCCAAATTCCAAAAATAAAAAAAAACTCAGAAAGAATCACAGATTCTGGAATGTGTCAGTTATGTGCCACATGTGATACAAGCTTTCGATACATGACTGACGAGGCAGATTTTTTCTAGCAGTAGGTTGCCATTTCTTTCTGCGGTAGACCAGTTACCATCCAAGGCTATAGAACCCAGTCTGTCCTGCTATTTACTTATAGCTGGAGGGAGAAGAAGAGGATACATACCTTTCCCAAGAGTATTAGCATGTAAGTGAATGTAATGGATTCTACTGGAATTTGAACTTGGCTTTCCCAATTCTCAATCCAAGCCACTATCTATTACTCCACTATGCCTCCCTGGAAGGCATAAAGAATCAAATATGGAAACATCTTGAAACAGTTCTTGATAAAGAAATACAGAAATAAAAAGAAAAAAAAATTCAATCCTTGGCCAAGATGCTTTATCAATTATGTTATACTCCACTGCAATTAGATCTCTTTCAAATTCATTCTGCATGCTGACTGAATGTGAACATCATGAAGGCAGAAAACAAAATAAAGTTGTCTTGTGCATATAGGCTCCAAGCATCACGTCTGGTCCATGAAGCAAGCCCCCACAATGAAAGAGACACTGGCCAACTGTGAATGTTCCCACTAGAAAAGGAGATGTCCCTGGGTACTGCCAGCTTTGCTTAAAAGCATTCCTCCCATAATGACCACCAGCAGTTGCCAGCTGTGAAGGCTACCTGCTGACATGCAGGGCAGTGACCTTCATGAAAGCTATGACTGCTTCTTTCAAGTCAACCGTTAACACTTGACTAATCATCTGTCTCTTCACACACAGAAACTAATACAGACTAGATTCAACAATGCCAGGCTCTCGACACCCACCAATATGATTTATAACATCACACATGGAATCCAGCAGAGACCAGCCTCAACACACCAACATTAATAACATCACATGTGGAATGTGGCTGACTGTCCAGCATCGACTCTGCCAGCTTCCTGATGCCAAACCATCACAATTCATAACATCTAAACATTGACATCACCCAGCTACAAGCTTTCCTCATCACCTCGGCAACACAATACACTACACGCAGACCCTCACAGTGAGATTTTCCACCACGGGCTGACTAGCTACACCTAATTCCTCATTGTCACCACCATCCGTTGCAGTCATCACCGTTACACTGTTTTGTTGAAACATCATCTGACTTTCTTGTTGCCACTAACCCAATTCACTGCAGGCATTCTCTTACAGGCCTACCAACTGCACCAATCCCTCATTACCTCAGCAACCAATGCACCCTTGACCCACCAATGTGACCTTGATTGATCAATACGTACATCAGACCCAACCAACAACTATATCCCATGATCTTAGTCAAACCAACCCAAGAAATCAGTCAACTCCTGGCACTACCCTTACACCTAATCACCTTCCTGACAATCAGCAAGTGAAATCGACATTTCACCAATTTTCCAACAACACTGTAAGATACCTTGTATATTAAACAAATACACATTGTTTAAAAAACTAATTCTTGTTATTCCTTTCCTCACACAATCAAATGCTTATTATTATAACAATTATAATCTATAAGTCTGGTGGGTATAACTTTTTATTGTTGCAAAAAATATTGGGTGCCAACAGCTTGCATGTAGATGGAGAATATGTTCAGTGAATAAACAAAAATCTAAAGAGGAATATGAAAAGAGTGTTTTCTTCTCAGATTAATTCCACTTGTACAGCAAAATGATTCAAAGAGAATAACGAAGACCAGTGAGGATTTAATATTGTTAGACATAAACAACATCAACAATATACTCTTTACAGATGAGTGTGTTGATGGCAAATTCAGATAGAAAGCCTAAACATCTATCAGACAAGGAAGTGAATAAAAGCAAGATGAAAGAACTCACCATTAACTGTAAGAAGACAGAATGCATAGTTGTCAGCAAAAAGGAAAAACCAAAGTATGTGTTACCTATAGGCAGGTGCAAATGCAAAGAAATGCAGAAATTTAACTATCTTTGTTGTAGAGTAACAGGATAGATATTATCACATAGAAATCTGAAGGTACATAGAAATAGTGAAAGATATGTTCAGCAAATGTATTAAGGAATCAAAAATGTTTGTAGAAACAAAGAAGACAATACTAGACTGTTATGTAATGTCTAATCTTTTACATGTTAATCAACGCTGGACAATTTCCTCACACAGATGAAGAAAAAAAATCTTAAGTAACAGATATATGATTCAATAAACTAATATGGAGAATATCATAGGAAGCCTATGTGAGAAACAAGAAACTTTTAAGAGGAATAGGAACTACAAAAAAATTGCTATTTGCTATCAGAAAGAAGCAATTGGCATGTTTGGAACATATCATGAAGAAAGACGGCTTGTAGAATTTAACACAATAAAGGTAGAAGAAGCCAGAGAAAACAATGAGAATCCTACATGACAAGTAAATGACTGCCAAAAAAACTACCACAAAGAGAAAGAGAGGTTGCAAACAATAAAGAATTACTGAGAATCACAAAAGACAGGAAGTTGTAGAGGGCCATAATCACACACATACTGAATGGCACTAGAGTGATTGATTGATTCATTTCTTTTTTTATGGCTTATCAACCCTTTGCAGGTTATTAAAGCTAGAAAATATTTTTAGATTGTAAGAATTTGGGGAGGGGAGATAATGATTTAGTGATACAAGTCTTTATTAATTAACCCATAGCTAGAGGGAGAAGAGGTGGATTCATATCTTTCCCAAGGAAGTGAATTGGGACTTGGTTTTCCGATTAACAATTTGGAGTCATTATCCATTATACCTCCCACACATCAAAACTTACAACACCTAGTATTCCCAAGCAGTCACCCATCTAGGTACTGACCAGGCTCTACATTGTTTAACTTTGGTGATTGTACAGGAAACGGTGCTTCAATATGATGGGGCTGTAAGTTCACATGGCACTTGAGAAAAACGGAGGGGAGAGAAAGAGATCCTGAAAGCATCAAGTAAACTAACACACAGACAGCAATTTTTTTATATTTTAAATTTGAACAGCTGGCATGAAATGATTACAAATTTCTTTTGCTTTTTTGTAAGAAATTTGATTGACTTACATCATTTTGTGTCTATATTCAAACTTGCTGTGGTACTTTTCTGAAATTGTCTTCCCCTCCATCTCAATCAAACAAATTGTTTGAAACTGCTTTAAGACCTTACCTCATAAGGACACTTGAGTGAACCAACCAATTTGCTTATCTCTTCAAGAACTTGGTAATCATGTTTCATGTTACACAGAGCTTCGTATGCTTCTTGGCTGTCATTCTCAAAAGAATCTAAAAGGAAAGAAATTTAAATTAAGACACTGAAAATTTGGCCAATCAGACAATTTAAAAAAAAATATCTTAAAATAAAAGTTGGAGGTTTTATAGGTTTATGAAGCTCTAAGATGGAACTGTTTTTAACAATGTTTTGGCTATGTTGCATTTGGTGGTACTGTATATATGCCAGGTTTCATGATCATTTTTCAACAAAAAAAATAAGGGTTTACACTATACACAGGTAATTTTTTTTGAAGAGGTTAAAAATCATGTATTTTTCATGACTGGTTGCACTATACACAGGTAAATATTTTCTGGAGGGGTTAAAATTCATCCCCCAAAATTCAATGGTTGCACTATACACAAAATTGGTTTATACATGGTTATTTTCTCGATGTGGCACAAAACTGAAAATATGGGGCACCTGGTTAGGATTGAACTCAGTTCCGTTGTAACTAATCTAGCCAGACTAGCTAGTTAACCATTACACCATGTTGATGTGCCTATAGTTGGCTTATACATAAGTATATACGGTTCTGACCCAGCATCTCGACTTCAGTCAATTTCTCACTGATGTAGTGTGACTTCCTTCTGTCTCTTCTATAAATATTTTCATGGCCACTGCTCTGACGAGTCTTTTGCCTTGGTGCCATGACTATGGGAATTTAAGCGTGCTATTAGATTGGCATCTTGGTTCCATCCTCTAACTTTTGAAATCACTAAATGCAACTGTCAATTCTACTTCAACAGTTTTTTTTTCACACTTTCCATTTGTGGAACTCCCTTCAAAAATTTAAATGTAATGTCAATTGCAATCTTCTGTCTTCTTGAATTCTTGTTCATCTTTTGGCCTTTCCTCAGTCCTCCCTATTTTAAGTCTGCATGCTAGTGGCATTACTGTCTTCCTTGGGTTAAAATGATTATATATATATATATATATATATATATATATATATATATACACTCAAGTATAGGATTGATGTATATGGAATAAATTCAAATAACCCAAAAATACTATTCTTAAAAGAGTGCTCAATACAGAGTAGAGCAAATATATTTATTCGAAAATTATAACATAAATATAGTTATAAATCACTACAAAAATAATTTTGTTTCAATGATTTTCAGTGTCTTATCAAGAGATCGTGTTGAATGTCTTTATTCTACATTCAACGCCATCACTTGATAAGACAGCAGAAGTGTTGAAACAAAATGGCTATTTTTTGTAGTGATTTTATAACATATTCATGTTATAATTTTCAAAAAATAAAAAAAATATATATATACACACACACACATATATATATATATATATATATATATATATATATATATATATATATATATATATAAAATGGACTGAAATTTTGAGTCATGAGTACACTTATCTTTTTTGCTTTATTATGGTTAAGAAGATATACATAGTGGCTTTTGCTGATCCTTGAGTTCAATCCTTGGTTTGTGCAGTATATAAGTATAGAAGGAGCCTTACAGATTTCATAAGAAAAAGGAGAAAATTCCTAAAAAAATGCCAAAGGATAAAAATAAGAGACCCCCCCCACCACAGCCCAGATGTAATAAAGAGCCTTGTTCTGTGTCTCCTCAAGATCAATGGATGTGACCTACAATTGAAAAAAACCTAAAGGAGACATTGTGATAAAATCAAAAAAGATCAGGATGATAAATCCAAATACAGAATAAAGCATAAAATGTCTACCTATATAGCATAATCTTTTTAACATGATTTTTTGATTATATATTCTATTGTACAGTTGAAGCCTTTGATACCTGCCTCCCATTCATAATACCAGCACATTAAGCATAACATAACATTTATGTACTTCTGTTTTTTTTTGGTTGGCCTTTTATGAGATGGCAAATCTGATAAATGTAAAAATGATTTAAAAAACCCAATATTGAATTGACATAATGTAATAATAATAATTAAACAAATTACAGTCAGAAAAGAAAGATTGGCTTTACCTGTCCTCATGGTGCTGACTGAGTCTCCTGTCCACAAAGATAAAGAATTGTGAACATTTGAGATTGAGCTATTGACCTTCAAGTCTACATCTCTTAGAGGCACTGTCCACTTGTGTTTGTAGCGTTCAGTCACTTCTCCATCACGGTCTCTGTGCAGAAGAAAAAAAAAACAATAAATCTCCATGATTGGATTAAAATCACAAAATATGTAGATATTCATTCAAAAATTGCATGATAGAAAAATATTATTTGATGGACAATGTGTATATAAATTTTATGTGTAAGAATCATTTTTAGAGGAAATTTATTGCAAGATTTGCCATTTTCAAAGATTGTGGCCATGGTGTTTTTCTTTTTTTAAGATATGTAACTGATAAAAACTCAAACAGTCATCATGTTATATAATGTGAAATTAGCAAATTGTTTAGTGAATATTCAATTAATTATCTGTGATATGTATATATGCATATATTTAATTATGAAAGTGTATGCTCTCTCATTTTCTCTCTCTAAATTCACCTTCATCCCTGCCGTGTGCCAGCAGCTTAGGGGTAGAATGTCCGACTGACACCAATTCAGCCAGGTTTTGATCCTAGCTAGAGGCAACCAGATGTCTAGCCCCACTGATGAGCTGTGATACAGTGAAACAGTGTCTGTGGATGACAATATATATATATATATATATATATATATATATATGTGTGTGTGTGTGTGTGTGTGTTGGACTCTCTTGTTGTTTACTGACATATGAGGGTTAAGCAACTCAGTTCCTAGGAACTGACAGCCAGACCTCTGCACATATGATTCAATTATAGTGGTGAAGGTTACACTTTTTGAAGAGCTGAATACAGAGACCTGGTGCACTACATGCCACAAGGTCCCCAAATGACCCTTTGCAGGTTTTTAATTCAGAGTTGTCCTTCACCTAGTCCAGCTGCTAAACAAGGCTATAGAACCCAGTCTGTCTTGCTATTTACCCATAGCGGGGGGGGAGAAGAAAAGGATTCATACGTTTCCCAAGAGTATTACCAAGTAAGTGAATGTAATGGATTTGACTGGAATTCGAACTTGGCTCTCCGATTTCTCAATCCGAGCTGCTATCCATTACTCCACTGTTCCCCCTGATTTTAAATGTGAATTAAGTTTAAAATCAGTGCAAGTTATTGGAACATCCTTTTAAATCAATGCTAAGCACCTCTGTTTGTGTGGACTCCTTTTGGACAAACAATATGGCTTTTATTTTGCCAGGTCTACAACTAACACGTTAACAGGCCTCACTGAATTTATCTACCCAGCTTTAGATAAGAATGACAAAGCTTAAATGCAAACTTAAGGTTATGGCTGTGAAACCTCAAAGTCCATTTTTATATTTACATATGCTCTATCACTTTAACCCATAAATATAGCATACCTTAAAAGTATATTTTTATCATATTTATATATAACACCACAAAAACACACAATCACCCATTTGTAACTGTAGAACAAATCCCACCGAACATTAACTACTTACTAACTCATATTATATACCAAGATACTATAAGATCTAAAAGAAACTCCAAAAAAGAATACATTAGAATAACAGGACCTATTCATACTAAATTTCATTTAACATCAATATATATGAAAATAACACTACATTCAAGACATATATGGAGCCACAAAACAAACCAAAATACAATAAAAATAACATAGAAAGTACCAGCTAACAACACCACATCAACATTTTGATCAGGAAGAAAATAATAATAATCCCCTTTCCAGAAACAAAACAATCAAAGTTCATTTCCAAATGCAGACATGAAAACAAATTCCTACTATGCTTACATCTGCATAATGACTCAACAAGCAAAACATCTAATAATCTATTATTTAAAACTAATAAACTTTATTTCAAATACCAAACTAGAATAAAAGAAAAAAAAAAAATTTTATATTTTAAAATTCAACTGCTGGCATAAAATGATTACAAATTTCTTTGGCTTTTTTTGTAAGAAATTTGATTGACTTGCATCTTTTTGTGTTTATATTCAAACTTGCTACAAAAAATATGAATTAGTATAAAATTAATAAATAAAATAAACAAACTCAAGGTCGGGACTTTGATTTAAAAAATTTGCCCAAAACAACAAAAAAGAAAAACAGAAAATATATATATATATATACAAGGACACATAGCACAGTGGATAAAAGCGTTAGTGACTTGACCCAAAGAGTGTGAGTTCAATACCCAGTTAAGGCAGTGGAGAACTTTCAGAGGGAAATTAGCAGGAGATAACTGATAACTGACATCCATTAGAGATAACTGACATCCATTAGACATGGCACGTGGAATTAGAACAGTCTAATCCAGCGAGCAAAATAAAGGGTTCAGTTCGACATTCCAACCACCTGAAGAAGGCCGGAGCATACAACGGCTGAAACGTAATAAATATGGCAACAAAAATGAGGAGAATAGTCCAAATAATGTAAATAGTGTAGATAAGAAATGGTTCCCCACTTCCTATAAACACCAAGTAACCTAGAGAGAGAGAGAGAGAGCCTCTGCTAATAAGAGTAAGACATGGTCTGATGATCTCTTAAGGCATGAACCTACCAATCACCATGCAGTGTTGATTTCTAATAATACAAATGCACACAGAAACATAATAAGAATTAGAAACAAAAAGAAAATTGGTTTTTCTCACCAGAATCTATCTTATATATTTATAAGTCTATCATTTGTCTATACTTTGAATATTGCTGCCATATCTGATCTGGTGATCCTGCTATATATTTAGAGATTCTTAATAAAATCCAAAGAAAAATCTGCAATGTTATTAGTCCTGATCTGGTATCTCAGCCTCAGTCACTTTGCCACCACCATAATGTAGCTCCTCTGTGCCTTTTGTATAAATACTTTTATTATAATTGTTCTGGTGAACTTCTGTCTATGATACCCAGATTTTATGAATTTAACTGCAGTACTAGATGGGTGGCAAGGTCTTATCATTTTACAGTGGAAATTGCTCAATGTAAATTCTATGCTAACAATTTCTTCTCTCGCATTTCTCACTTGTGGAACTCTTCTTGCTTCCCAGTCAACTTTGATGTTCAAACATTTAAATGGAAAGTCAATCATTATCACCTGCCTTCTTAATTCTTATTCTTTTATTGTTCTCTCTCTGTAATAGTGTTTTTTTTTTTCTCATAATCTTTAACACTCAATAACCCATTTGCACCTTAGTAACTTTACTGTCTTGCTGAGTGAAAGGATTAAAAAAATCCTCAACAGAACTGATCTCCTCCCACCACCCTGTTGAGGTTGCAATGCCAGTTTTATTCCATTTGATTACTGCCTCATTTTCCTTCTCTTTTGTTTGCCTCTAACTGCAGCTACACAGTCTTAGAAATTGCTTATCTCAAAGCAAAGAGGATTTCTATGTTAAGAGAGACAATTTCAGAAACAATGTATGAAAAATATTCAGAAAAAAAGTTTGGCATATTACATCCAAGGAAAGTGATCAGTGGAAATGTTTAATTTTCCGTAAGAAACGTGTGATTATTATGTAATCATTGCTTCATGCTTGCTTAGTTTTGTATTGAGGGGGGAAAAAAGTATGACAAAGTGCAAAAAGTTTTCATGTGATGTGTTTCGTCTTTAGGACTTTGGTGGACCAAATTGAAATGTACATTGATGGAATTACACATGTGCACAAAGGAAAAGAGATGTTGAGAATTTTAAATTAAAATGTTTTTTTTGTTATTTTTGTATCTTGAAAAATTTAATTGGCAATTCTTAATGCATTTCATCAGCTCCACATGACAAACATTACAATGTCATCAGCAAGCACAAATGTATGAAGATTTATTTTGAAATTACAATAGAAATTATATAATGTTCAAAATTGGAACTGATTTGCAAAATAAGTCATTTAGGTGCTTATATATGTGCATCAACACATTCAGAGAAATATGTGTACAATATCTATAAAATGTATGGCTATACATGAAAAGGTGTACACAGAAAGAGAGAAAAATATTTGATACAATCTTAATATTTAAATGACACTTAATTGGTCTTGCATTCTAATTTTAACACATTGCAAATAGGATCAATTTCCCTTGACAAAACCATAATTGGTTGTGTAACTTTTAAAGTTATATAATGTGGATATTTATTGAATATAAACATTTCATAATTTCAATTATATTTCTTTTATTTTTCAAAGTGAATTTTTAATGAAATGAATGTTCTTTTTTGAAAAATGATTGAGAATTACTGTCATTAATAAGAATTTAAATCTTGCTGTTAAACTTCTCTGCAGCGAAAATAGTCTGCATAGATGCACATGCAATATTTTAATCAAGGCTATGCAAATTAAGATGGCATGTCCAATAAAGAAATCTGCATAAAAATTTAAATTTTTAATCCTAAAGCCATATAATAAAATGAATAGCTTTTAAATGTTTCAATGACAAGAGAGCTCCACTTGGCTGGAGTGTTCCCCATGGGTGGTGTCAGTATTGTGGCCGTAGGGAAATTCAAGGAAAGAATAAATGGATTTCATTTGTCTGCAATGTTTAACCTTAGTACCCACAAAAAAAAGGGTGTGTCAAAAGGACGGTCACTCCCTTGACACCACTCTTACTGTATACACTTTTGACACCCTCCACAATGTTTATTTACAAGATTATAAAAATATATGAACCAAACACAATGTATTATTTAACTTTTAAAAATTTATTATTTACCAATTTGGAAAGAAATCTTTTTATTCAAAAATTTATAAAAAATTATCAAAATATGTGAGTCAAGTGCAATGCAATGTTTGCAGTCAAAATGACAGACATTTTGTAATTACACAAGGAAAAGTAAAACCTTGTTCACCCAATGAATAGGGAGATACATGCTCAAGATATTGACTGAGTGTTTGTCGTCTTACCTAAAATCTAAAATTAAATGAAAATTCAAAGCGGGAGATGCTCTCAACTTAGTTAATTTATGTGGCGAGAGCAAATGAAAGAAATGCCTGGAAAAGTACATTTTTTTTTCAAAATTTATAAGTAACTTAACTAGTCGTTATGCGTTTTTGTTTATTTTCTTGTTCAGAAATTTATAAATTTATGATGAATAAAAAAATTTTCTTTTCATAAATAATAAATATTT